CAAAAAAAAAAGCATAACCATTGGTGCCACCCATGCACAAAGTAGTGCCTCACCTGGGCCACCCCATTTTAAAAGATCTGGACACGCCACTGAGTGCACGGTCAAAAGAAACTCAATATTAATGTCCAAACATTTGTTAAACACGGACCTCCATTCTGATGGTTTGTTTGAGGCAACGTTCCATCTCCTAGCTCAGCCAGGGCTTCTGGTTTCACACAGGATCAGTCAGCTACTGATTAGACAGCAGTGCCCCAGCTGGAAATTCTTCAAAGTGTTTGAAATAAACAAACAACTGACAGCTACAGAGGATTTTCCTTCAGCACGAGAGCAGACATCAACGAGTTTTACTTGTGTAATGCTCAAAAATGTTTTATCCGTACCGGATACTCGGCTCAGCCCGGGTAGACAGCTATTTATCTGGATCTGCTGATTTTTATTAAACAGTTTAAGTTTGGAGGAAACTTCACTGAATCTCAGCTGATGTGCTGAACCGACCTGGTGCCTCGGCTCTTCTTCAGCCTTTGTGTTTTAGGTCAGATGCAAACGACAAGGAGACATAACAACTAGCCTGGCAAGCCAGACTCAATAAATATTATGTAATAATACATTTAATAAACCTTGCGAAGCAAGACTTTGGTCTAGTTCTCAAAACAACAGCAGCTGTAAGAGTTTCAGTCCAGTCTCTCTGACCCCCAAAAGGCCGTGATCCATCTTCCAGTGGTGGTCGATGAGCCCGCTGATCAAAGAAGAAAAGAAACATACAATAAAATTCACAATTATTGAACAGTGGACATCACAGATACTTACATCTAAAACTAACACGGACAAATAATTCTCCTCACAACCAGTGACTAAATAGATGAAGCCTCCACACCGTCGGTTTCTGAAGAGCTGAATCGAAGCCCTGTGGGCGGCTCCCACCACCGCCATCTGCACCTGTGTTGTCACGCCTGGACGTGACAAGAATGGAGATGAGAGCGGGGCGGTGAGGGTGGGGACAGATGTTCGACACCCACCAAACCCTGAGCAGCTGTAGCTACGAGCTAAATGAGCCAACATAGGTTGGTGGGTTCTTTTAGCCAGAAAACCGCGGCTTTAGCCATCGGGCCACCCTCTGGCTTGCAACACAACACGAGGCTGAGGCCTTCCCTGCAGCAAGGAGGCAAGGCCCTAGCACGACAGCTCATCTGCTACCTGTCAAACAGACACGCCCCTAAATATTCATAATCAAGATTTAATTATGTCTAAACTGAAGAGTTATGAAATAATTTAACTCCTCAGGGTTGTCATCACAATAAAGATGGACCTGAAAGGGTTTAACCAGGCTAAACATGTTAATTTCTGCAGTGAAGTTGGTTTTTAAATCTGTTTTTGAGCCAGTTTGTGCTAAAACAATTCCTTACAGGGTCAACGAAAGGTCACTCAGACCCCACCGCCCCCCATGCGGCCACAAGACTGCACCTGCAACTTCAGAGTAGCGTGCTGGTCCGTCAGGCCCAGTCCCAGTACTTGCACTGTGCCCTACGGACTTCTGTGAAGTGCACTTGGAGGAAGTGTGCAGTATGCGTAGCATACAAGTGTGGCGGATGGGGACGGGGCCTTCGACCAAGAGACATGTCGGGATGCTGGTCGCTGTTTGTGCTACTTTTTGGAAAATCTTCAACGACTTTCGAACACTTACTTGACAAAGTTTACATTCATCGCTGTTTTCATTGAATCGTAGCCTAAAACATTCAGCGCATGGATAAATGTCATTAATCATCCTAAAGTCTACTTCTTTCGTTTGAAAATGCACATTTTTCAGAAAGACTTGGGCCATTGCTCCGTCTTCTCAAAACTCCCATGCAGCAATGCATTATGGGCAGTGTTGGGAGTAACGCGGTAAAAAAGTAATTAATTACTGTAATGCATTGCTTTTTGCTGTAATGTGGTAATGTAAGGCATTACAGGGAAAGAAAATGGTAATATTTACTCGGTACAATTGTCAGTAACGCGATAATTACAACACATTTTTAATCCCAGAATCAAGATGTGGGATTCCTAAAAATTCAAACTGCGGGACACCTGAAAAAAGATCCAGTATCCACATATATGACGTCATTTTTCATTGATGTGTGTGTTTTGTGACTGTGTGTGTAACCTGGGCGCTAATTCTCGTGTCACATGGCAAATCAAATTTACCTGTGGGTATTAATAAAGTTACCTTGAACCTTGATTTAAGGACTCAGCTTTGCGGGCGTTCTATGAGCAGAGGGGACGCAGCGGTAATGACTCAAATACTCCAGCTGCGTCCTGCGCACGGCCGCTGTTATATTCACAAAATCGTTCCACCAGAACAAATTAATTAGTTTGCGATCGTTTATATCAGCCCGTATTCTCCGGTACTTCATGTACTTTTCAGCTGAGTTCATAATCTGTGCCCCGGTGATTTCAGCTCATTGCTGCTGGAGGGCAGCGCATATTAAGCTTTTTTTCTTTTTGCCTTCGGTAGATCCCGTTGGCTAATTAGTTAGAAAGTAGGAAGTCTAGGAAACAGTTTTTTCTGGAAGACGGAGAAAACATGCAGCATGCAGGAAGGTTAGAGAAAGGGCAGGAAGTTATTCAAATAAAATCAAGAAAAAAGTAGGTAGATTTATCCCCAATGCACATTTTTACCATGAAAAGTAAGTGAAAAGCAATAATATATAAGCATTTAATATTTATACATGTGATTGAATCAGATCACCCCAGAAGTCAGTCCCACATCCAGGGCCGTATCAAGGCATTTGGGGACCAAGGCAAATATAGGCTTGGAGCCCCCACCACCTCACTCCCTGCTCAGATGGCCCTATAAGATGGCAGCATGCTGAAAGTACAGATTGTTGTTGCTTTTATTTAATAAACAATCATTTTAAAGCACTGTTATTATATCTGACTGTTTTTAACAGCAAGCCTAGTTCAGACACCACCAGGGGCGGATTTAGGACTGAAGAAGATCCGGGGCTTAACACACACACACACACACACACACGTACGCGCACTCACATGTGACACGCACTAGTCAACATCATATTTATTTGTCTTGTACCACATAATTTTTAATCTGAAGCTACATATTAAGCATATTCAGGGCAGAGTATTGTTCCTGTTAGTGTTTAGTGTGAGATGATAGTAAATATTCCCTTTCTTTCTCCATCAACTTTACCTGATAAGCTAACTTTAGGCAAACCAGCAGCACAACAAATATTTTTAAATAAGACTCACAAACCTGAGTCAACACCAGTCTCATCAAAGCTGGGGTTCTGTCGCCGTACTTTTGGTCTAAAAAACGTCCTCATGTCCATCTTCACTCATGCGTTTCAGGCAGAGAGTGAAGAAGAAGCCGGCTGCTGAAGGGCTTCTTCTTCAGTGGTGGAGGCTCAGGCAGGCTGTATACAAACTACTGCCAGCTGCTCCCTCTCTGCTGGACTTTGGTACTGCATGTTACTTCCGCGTTTTAGATCCGGGGCTTTTCATGAAACATCCGGGGCTTCAGCCCAAGTAGCCGGGCCTAACGCCGCCCCTGGACACCACATCACTTTCCACATATATGTCATGAGTTCACCGAGCGTCACATGACCAGATTCATACTAAAGTCGTTTTGGTGAAAGTAACTTAAATACACAAGTAGTGTAATGCCTTACATTTTAAAGTCAGTAATGTTGTAATGCGATGAATTACTTTAAAATGAGGGTAACAAGTAATAAATAATGCATTACAGTTTTTAAGTAACTTGCCCAACACTGATTATGGGTAATACACTTGCCTGAAATCTGCATTAATGTGGACTTGGGCGAAGTGTGGATCAAGGGTGTAAAGGGGGCATGGGCACCCTACGCACCCCCGGACGCGATCATGCACTTGAAGGGTGGAAGTGTGAGTTTTGGGCCTGGGCCTTGGTAAAGGTGAGCTGACATACGGGGCGCCGCAGTCCGCTTCCAGCTGGCTTCCTGCATGTTGCACTGGTGAAAGAAAAAGGTTAAATGAAGCACGTACCTCAGGTGACCGCGGCTCCCGTTTCCTTCATAGGTGTCTGAGGAGAGAAAACAGCAGCTACCCCCAGACATGACAGGAAAATCCGACCACAATAAAAGAATACCCAGAAGTGGAGTTCGAGTTCAAACAGGTTTTGAACTAAAGGTTTGTCTCGTTCTCAATCAGCACGTTGTGGTCAAACTGTCTCAAAGGCCAGTTTCAATAAGACTAGACTTTCACCAGATGCACCTGAGACCCTCTTTCCTCCTGCAGAAAGCTGGACCAGTAGCCCACCTTGGGTCTGTCTCCAGGTGAAGACCCTGGTACCCCTGGTTCTGCAGAGGTTTCTCTGGTCCCGCCCCTCACCAAGGACCTGGTTACCGCGGGCGACCCTGGTGGGTTGGTAGGCAGACGCATGAACCAGTTTCCACAGCAGGTGGTCGTAGACGTCAAGAAGAGCTTCAGGCCAGACACAAACATCACAACCGTCCTTCAGATGAATCAGAAACAACCCGATTGGTTTTAGGCTTGGACCCGTTTTAGGAAAACATTGGCATCGATTGTCGGACCTCGCCGGTAGAAAAGAGTCAAACACTCAGATCTGCTTCTTTGATGATCCAAACACCAAAAGTTTTATTGAACACAAAATAGCGGAGCTGTGAAACGACCGTTGACAGAAACACCCAGAGAGGAAGAACACAAACCTTCCAGATGCACGAAGTGTGGAATTATTAGAGCACAACTCTTACGGTACAAAACTACATCGTTCCATAAAGCATCCACATGGACAACGGCAGGAATATCACCTGCTTCCGTTTATCCGGCATCCAGAAAACTACAGATCCACAAAAGTTCATCTAGAAAAGATCAAAACGACTTTGTTTAAATATCATTTCTATATTTTACATTTAACGCTAGTCCCTCTGATCAACTCTGTGGCGTCCCTCGGCTCTGGAACAGGGCTGTGGACAGATGCATCATGGGAGTCTCCAGGTTTAGATGAGGGTCCAGATGTGAGAAAAAACTCCAACAGCTGCAGCTTTTCCAACGCATCGAGAAAATCCCGTTTTATTTAATTCATTACGAAGTTTTTTACCCGACAACCTCGAAGCCGATTTATATTTTTAATATTTAATACTCAAACATCCGGAACCAAAACGTTCCGATATTTTACCAAATTAAAAACTTGGTTTGGCTTTGATGAAAGAAGCTGGGTGTGATGCTGGAACCTGGTCTGGGTCTGAGTCACCTTCACAGAACGGTTCTGTCCAGAAGCACGGCCTTCGCCTCCAGATGGCCTCCAGAAGACAAAAATAAAGATTAAGAAACCGTAAACGATAAAAAACTGAAGCTTCCAGCTGAATGTTTCCATAAAACTCTGGTTTTTGAACAACAAAATTAAACTAAAGCAAATAAAAACAAGCAAAGACCCGGATGGACCAGGACCCCAGGAACCGTGACCCAGTAGGAAAGCGACCCCCAGGGGCCGGGACCCAGGCGTACCGGGACCCCCAGGGGCCGGGACCCAGGAGGACCGGAACCCCCAGGGGCCGGGACCCAGGAGACCCGGAACCCCCAGGGACCGGGACCCAGGTAGATCAGGACCCAGGAGGACCGGAACTCCCAGGGACCGAGACCCAAGCGTACCGGGACCCAGGAGGACTGGAACCCCCAGGGACCGGGACCCAGGTAGATCAGGACCCAGGAGGACCAGAACTCCCAGGGACCCAGATCCAGTAGGACAGGGACCCCCAGGGGCCGGGACCCAGGCGTACCAGGACCCCCAGGGGCCGGGACCCAGGAGGACCGGAACCCCCAGGGACCGGGACCCAGGTAGATCAGGACCCAGGAGGCCCGGAACTCCCAGGGATCGAGACCCAGTAGGACAGGGACCCCCAGGGGCCGGGACCCAGGCGTACCGGGACCCCCAGGGGCCGGGATCCAGGAGGACCGGAACCCCCAGGGACCGGGACCCAGGAAGACCGGAACCCAGAGGGACTGGGACCACCAGGGACCGTGACTCAGACAGATTAGGACTCAGACCCGGATGATGAAGTTAAGCTCAGGATTAGAATTTGGTTCGGGTTTAGTCCTGGAGACGGAACCAAATGGACTCCTGATCAATCCGAGAGGACGGGCTGCAAACACACAAGAACAGGTGACGATGGAGAGTCTGACTCCGCCCCCAACATTCCGCCACACCCATGCAGCAGCGCCATGTTCTTGTGTGAGTACGGGGGGGGGGGGGGGGGGGGGGGTCATGTAGGCACCAAGTTGTAACAAACACCAGCGGCAGGTTGAGAGCCGTAACCATGGAGACCAGCAGCTATCTCCATGGTTACCACAGACAAACACAATGGCAACAGGAAATCTGTCCAGTTTCCTGCTGAAAAACAGGAAGCTGGAGAGGAGGGAGGGGGAGGAGCTTCAGTAAAATGTGAAGGTGGTGGTGGTGGTGGGGGCCAGAGATGAATTTTATTGGTCCTTTTTCTCAGATTCGGATGAGTCCTCTTTAGGCTCCGCCTCCTCAGCCGAATCTTCCTCATACCTGCAGGTAAGGAGAGAACAACAAAATGATTTGATTCAGCAGGAGAAACAGGGCGGAAAAGATCTGATGATCAGGAGAAAAGGGGCTGAAACCGGTCCGAATGGGTTTTGATTTATTCTGGATGATTCTCAGAACCCGACCTGACCCGATCCACACTCCGAGAGATCAGGTGTCAGAACCGTTAATCCTGGCATCATGAATCATCACCATGTCAGACAGACGCGGTTAAACACTTTGGTTCTTCCTCCAGGTAACCCCCCCCCCCCCCCTTCTCTTCTGGCTGGCCCCGCCCCCTTTATTAACCTTTAATTGGTTAATGAGGAGTTTGCAGGTTTAAATGAGCCATAAGCCATTTTGTTCCTGCTCTTCTCGTTAACGGGCTCTTTACCTGCCCAGGTGACGAATGAAGGGGACAGTAAGGAGGGGGCGGAGCTTCTACAGGGAGGTGGGCTGTAAGCGGCGGTGGCGAGGGGAGGAGCTAGTTGCAATGAAGTCCATGGACGTAGCCAGGCTGGCAGGAGACCCGCTCACGGTCGGGAAGGAAGTGATCCGAGGAGACGCAGGAAGAACTTCCTCCAGCGACTCGAAGCTTCAGCCGGGAAGAGAGGAGGAAGAGGATGGGAAGACGAGATGAAGATGAGGAGAGAGAGGAGGAGGAGCTTTGTTTAAAATCGATTTAAACTCTAAAGTCTGAAATGGACCAGATGAGCAGGAGGGCAGGGTAAAGGGGTGAGAGGAAACCACAGAGCCTATACGAGCCCACGGGTCAGCACAGGTCCACGCGGACCAGAACCACAGGTCCAAACACCCAGCTGGACTTCTACAGAACCATCCTGATCAAAGCAGAGCAGCACGTTCTGCTGAATCCAACACGACCGAGTCTGGTTTGGGTCACATGACCAAGTCTAATCAATGTAAAGGACTGGTGCAGGATGGAGAAGAACTGGTACCGGCACCAACTAAAACCTCTGAACTTTACAAGTCACGAGTCGGAACTTCTCCAGCCTGAGACCTGGACCGACCCGCTGGTGATCCGGTCCATCTGCATAAATCAGCTGAAAGCTTTTCGTCACACTGGATTATTTTGGACTTTTATAGGTTTGATTTGGTTCCGTTTCTGGTTTTACCGGATCGGACTGGATTCTGAAACACAAACTAAACTAGAACACCCGGTTCTGAATGGACCTGCTGGCTTCTCTGGTTCCTTGATAGAACAAGCGTCTAGAAGCTAGACAATGTGATGAACAGGTGATGCGGTTGCCATGGTTACTCACCTGAACATCTCCATGAGCTCTCCTTTGAGCAGCGCCACGAGGACCGGGAACCCGACACAGGCGGGAACCAGGTAGAGCAGAGCGGGCTGGAAATGCACAGGAGGACGGATAAGAACCGGAAAAGAGACACCAGGATGCCGCCACGACCCCTGACCCCATACCTGTGCGTGCTTGAAGGTGTGCATGACAAAGATGGTGAGGCCCAGTCCAAAGATGTAGGCCAGGAAGCTGGAGTAGAAATACGTCCTGCTGTTCTTCTTTAGGCTGCAGACAGAAACACGCCGGGATCAGGATTAAAGAGTGGGCGTGGTCTAAGGCACGGGCGGGGCAACAGCACGACGTTACCTGACATCGAAGCGCAGCAGCAGGGCGATGAAGATGCCCGGAATGACGATGTCTCCCAGTCCCAGCATGGCAAAGTTACTGGCTCCCAGACCTTTCTCCAGAAGGTCCTGAGGAAACACCACTGGAACACAAACACGAGGACCGGTTCTGTTCACGGCGGGCAGAACCAACTCAGAACCTTCACAGTGTCTCGGAAACACACTCACGTTTGATCGGAGCCTCGAACGACTTAGCCACCGTCACCATGACGTTGGTCCCAAACACCTGGGGAGAGACAGGGGGACGGGTGAGCGAGGAGGGGAGAGGGGGGACGGGAGGGGTGAGGAACGGTGGACTGACCCAGAAGACGTCGTAGATGAAGAGCCCCCCCAGCAGGATGCAGCCGGTACTGACGTTGTTGAGGTGCAGCAGCTCCACCCCGTTCAGGGCAAAGGCCAGACCAAACAGGTTATTGGCTATCCAGTGCTGTGATGTCACAGAGAGCAGGCGTGTGATTGGCTGTGAGGACGGCTGATCAGGTGTGTGTGAACAGAGGCGGGGTTACCTTTTTGAGCAGGTACCAGAACCCGACCACGCTGCTGATCAGCAGACAAACCAGCGTCTTTGTGTCAAACTCATAATTCACTATTTCTGTCGGAAACACAAAAATAATCTGCGTCAAGTTTAATCCAGCTTCAGATTACAGAGACGTCTCCATCCGCACCTGTGTGTCCTCCGGCGTCACAGCTTTGGAGGAGCGGCATGTGAGAGACAGCGTGCACGTTAGAGCCGTGCACGCTCTCCCGTGAGCGTCGTGACTCTGAACTGATGAAACATCAGCGACTGCGTTCACAATGCAGGCAAAAGCGCATCCGATCCGGGTTTTTCCACATGTGACCCAACTCCGACCCGAGTCACTTTCCTATGTGGTACCGATTCAGATACACATCTGATGTTTTTGAAACCGATGCAGTCTGAACGGTCATGTCTCATTGCATCCGTCTCCTACGTCACCGAGTCAGCGGAGGAGAGCGCTGTGTGCCGGCGTTCCTGAGGAGAAGCGCTGACAGAAGGATTCAGGATTCTGGACATCCTGTCAGATTTAGGATTAAAAATACCAACGAGCCTGAAAACGGGAGCGGGCGGTTCTGCTGCAGCGAGCGTCTCACCTGTTTCAGGTCTCCGTGAGAGCGGGGGGTTCTCCGTGAACGAACCTAATACCGGAACGTTTTCAGTGAATGATAATTTGGGAAAACGGCGGGAATAAGGAGTGCAATAGTCTCGTTTTTAAAACCAGCCCGGAACAGGAGGCTTGACCGGTGTGATCCTGATCCTGTGGATGAGCCGGCTTTCACATCACACCTCCGCCGCTCGGCTCCGACTCCACCGAGAGCGACTTCCTGTGTTCTGGGCATGCGGGTCGCTTTGGAGCGTTCCCAGAGGAGAGTCTGATAGCCACAAGAAAATAAAAATAAAAATAATCTATCGGAATTGAGCGTCGAGGCCTGCAGTGTGAACGTAGCCTTAGAGCTTAATCTAATAATCCAGCCCCGACACACCTGCACTAATCCAGCGGTTGTTCCTAACCTCACCAGCACGTGCCACAAAGCTGCCATCAGCTCAGCTGTTCATGATTGTGTGTGTGTGCACGTGTGAGCATGTGTGTGTGTGCACGTGTGAGTGTGTGTGCAAGTGTGAGTGTGCGTGTGTGTGCATGTGTGAGTGTGCGCACGTGAGCGTGCGTGTGTGCACGTGTGAGAGTGTGTGTGTGCGTGCGCATGTGTGTGTGTGTGCACGTGCGTGCGTGTGAGTGCACATGTGCACCTGTGAGTGTGGGTGTGTGCACGTGTGTGTGTGTGTGTGTGCATGTGTGAGTGTGTGTACGTATGGGGCGACGGTGGCACAGTGCTCGCCCCGTAACCGGAAGGTTGCAGGTTCGAGCCCCGCTCAGTCTGTCGCTGTCGTTGTGCCCTTGGGCAAGACACTTAACCCCCTTGCCTGCTGGTGGTGGTCGGAGGGACCGGTGGCGCCAGTGTGCCCCAGGGTAGCTGTGGCTACATCATAGCTCATCCCCACCAGTGTGTGAATGTGTGTGTGAATGGGTGAATGACTGTGTGGTAAAGCGCCTTGGGGGGCTCCAGGACTCTAGATGGCGCTATATCAAAAACAGACCATTTACCAAACCACACTGCAAGGGGGTCGCCAGGTGTTCCACAGGTGTCCTCACCTTCTTTGGTCTCTCCGGAGCCCTGGGTGAACAGCAGCTGGTACTGTTTGTTCGGGAACGACTCTGGAAAGATTCTGGACATCAGAGGACTGACAGACAGAACCAGTTAGTATCACCTGTGGGTCTAAGGTGGCGACGGTTCTGATGCTGCAGCCGCGTTACCTCATGGTGTGAGACAGAGCCAGAACTCCCAGAACAAAGAAGTAGACCGACAGCAGCAGGTTGATGTACTCCTGAGAGAACACCTGCAGAACCAGAACCAGAACGTGTGAAATGCTGAAAGCCGCAGGTGAAACAGGAAGCCGAGGCCTCCACTCACCTTGAAGAACAGGTAGAGTCCAAACAGGGTGCAGCTGGCGATGATGGGAAAGCGAGCCGCGTCCCGGCTGGTGATGGTCTCCGGAGCGTCGGAGGAATTCTGACGGGAACGAGATGAAACGTGAACACACACACACGCACACACACACACACACACACACACACACACACACACACACACACACACACACACACACACACACACACACACACAAACACACACACACACACACAGGTTTTATTTTATATCCCATAATAAAACTTTTGTTCGCCTGGTTGACTTTTTATTCCTTTTAAAAGTTTAAACTGTTTCGCTCATCTGGACCAGAACCACCCGCAGGTCTGGGATCGAGGTTCTGATCGGGTTCTGAAGAAGCTGTTTAGGAGAATCCTGGTCCTGCAGGAGTTCTGATGAATGATAAAACCCAGCTGATGGCTCAGAATCGGTTCTGAGTTTGGTCGTGGAAGGCAGAAGTAAAAAAACTCGGAAAGATTCCGGTTTTAATCCAGATGGGATTAAAAATCTGCAGAACTGAAAATGTTTTACTGTCAAAGTTTTCCTAAACCAGGAAACACGGAACCAGAACCGTACAGAGGACCTGAAGTTCTGGTTTCACTGGGACCACCAACAAGAGCTCCCTTGGTTCTGATCCCAACCAGCTCCTCCCAGTCCGAGGTCCTGGTTCTGAACTGGAAAAGGTGGAATGTTCCCTCCAGGCTGGGAATGCCTCTGGTTTGTAGAAACGTGTTTTTCCACTTTTTCCAGTTTGAACTGAGAAGATCCATCGGGTCAGACAAGAAGAACCAGAACCCGTCCCGCTTCAGCCCACTCCTGCAGACACGTCTGGGTTCTGAGGAGCTCCGATTTAACCGAATAATAGCCAAGGATTAGAGGTGCTCTGAGATCAGAACCAGAACCGAACCCCTGCTGTGTTTGATTTTTCTGAACCATCAGCTGATGAGGCGACCCGTCATGTGATCATGCTGCAAACAAACGGCGTGCGGATCGCATACTCACTCCGAATCCGGAACCATAATCATTTCCTCCCAGTTCCTACAGACGGACGGACGATGGATGGAGACAGACAGGTGAGCAGAGACAGGTGAGCAGAGACAGGTGAGCAGAGACAGGTGAGCAGAGACAGGTGAGCAGAGACAGGTGAGCAGAGACAGGTGAGCAGAGACAGGTGAGCAGAGAGACAGGTGAGGAGAGAGACAGGTGAGGAGAGAGACAGGTGAGGAGAGAGACAGGTGAGCAGAGAGACAGGTGAGGAGAGAGACAGGTGAGCAGAGACAGGTGAGCAGAGACAGGTGAGGAGAGACAGGTGAGCAGAGAGACAGGTGAGCAGAGAGACAGGTGAGCAGAGACAGGTGAGCAGAGACAGGTGAGGAGAGACAGGTGAGGAGAGACAGGTGAGGAGAGACAGGTGAGGAGAGACAGGTGAGCAGAGACAGGTGAGCAGAGACAGGTGAGCAGAGACAGGTGATGAGAGACAGGTGAGGAGAGACAGGTGAGGAGAGACAGGTGAGGAGAGACAGGTGAGGAGAGACAGGAAGAGAGGGATCAGATCGGAGACGAAGAGGACGAGTGGAAGAGACGAACCACCCGAGGAACAGTCAGCTTTAAAAGAGGTCACGTGACCAAACTTCTCAGGTAAGAAACACCTGAGAATTCTAGAATTGGAGGGGGCGGGGCTAAAAAACCTAGGGTCAGGTCCTGCAGACCAATCAGGAATGGGTAAGAACCGGGTCAGGACCAATTTTCTTCTTTTGTTTGGAAAGAAGTTCCTAATTGAACGGAATACCTCCAGTGGTGTGTACCTGACTTCAGATCAGCTTCACGGGGTTACCTAAAAGCACAGAAGTGTGTGTGTGCTGGGACGTAATTTTGGGGGGGGACGGGTGGGACAAGTCCCCCCCACTTTTTCAAAAGGCAGTTTTGGTCCCCTGCACTTTTTTCCGTCCAAAAACAATGTTACGCTCCATTAAATGGATTTGATTGAGCACTAGGACCGAAACGGAAACCGGTTTCCTATTAGACCCGCCCAAAAGCTAATCTATTGGCTCTGCTGATACTTGCTAACGTATTATTGGCTGTTGCTGCTGTCACTCAAGTTGTAAACAGAACGTGCTCACGTTGTTTTGCTAGTTTGGAGCCGCTAGGGAACACCGGTACTGAGTCACATCGTCAACTAGACGCTGTGTAATATCAGAGCTCAGCTCAGCTTCCATTACATAACATTTGAACAAGTGTTCATTTGTGAGTCTTTGGTAGTTAGGCACAGCCAGGCGGCAGCATGTCAAGAAAACGAAAAGTGGATATAAGAGACTTCTTTCAAAGTCAAAACTTAAGTTGGAACATGTGACAGACCTGCATTAAGCTCAGACTCACCTCCTCCTTCACACACAAACTCAAAACTAACTTTTACAAACTCATCTCCTCCACATAACTGACTCCTCAGACACAATTTATTCGTATTATTATAATTATTTTTTTATTATTATTACTATTATCATCATAATTATTATTACTAGTAGTAGTAGTAGTAGAAGTGTAACTTCAAAACTTTTATCATTTAACTTTATTGTAAACTTATCTATTGCAATGTATATTTTCACATTAAAAAGCTCTGAAAAATGAACAGTATCATCATCGTCAACAGATTTTTTAAGCTTAATGTCAAAGATGTACACTTTTCATTAGATTTATCTTATTTTTTCCATTTATTTTTTGTGTGTTGAAATGCAACAACTGTTTAAACACTTTTAAGGGAAAAAACATATTTAATATGTTTTTATACACTCAAATGTTAGGGTGATGATCATGTGTAAAACATTAGTTCAGCATGTCCTCTAACACAGCAAATGAACAAACGGCCAGATCTCAGGAGGGACCGTTTATGTATAAATAATTTTTATACTTTTGACTAGGCCTGGGAATGTAACAAATTTTGCTGGACGATATTTTGTCCAACAAATTGTTGATGATAAACGATATCATTGTCAACATTATCTAGACCAAAATAACCACTAATATAATGTTAATATATCATAATAATGCAAGTACACCCTTTAAAATGCAACAAATAAACCTTCATTTAACATTGAAATGTCCAGAACCAGAACTATTAAATGAATAAAAATAACAAACAAAAATTGAATAAAAAAGGAATCTCACTCCCTGTTAGAAAATGTTGCACCAAAAACAATAAAAAAGACCCAAAACAATAAATACAATGGCCTATCCATTGTCAACAGCCAAAACTGCACTTCAATAATGATAATAAATAAAAATAATAATAGAGTTGTACATTTTTTAACTTTGATATATATATATATATATATATATATATATATATATATATATATATTGAGGATGGAAAAATTATTGAGATGAGCACGTGACGTAAAAAAGGGGTCTTTACATAACACCCCCCACCCCAAATCCGCACAAGCCTGCTGTGTCCCCCCCACTTCTGAAATCAAAATTTCGTCCCTGTGTGTGTGTGTGTGTGTGTGTGTGTGTGTGTGTGTGTTGACTTTTGGCACATCTGATAAACACCTGTGTCAAAAGTCAACAAACACCTGGCAAAAAGAGCATCAACATCTCGACCAGAGAGAACACCAACATCTGGACCAGAGAGGAGAACACCAACACCTGGATCTGGACCCGTAACCTCCCTCCAAACGTTTGGTTTCCGGTTAACCCACGAACTCACCGGAACCTTTAAAACTCTACAAGTAGAAACATAACTGAATAAACCGTCCAACAGGTGAACCGTCGGTTCGGGTGTCAGTAGGCCCGGTTCTGATGTTCTGACCGACGGTTCATCAGGATTGTTATCTGGAGTAAATCAGCGAGCCGTTAGCCGGTGTTCGGGCTAACCCGACACCGCGGCCGGTACCGGGGCGCAGTTACCTTGGATTTAGAGCAGGTGACGGACCGCAGGGCTCCGAAGAAGATGGGCAGCAGGGCCATGACCACCAGGCTGCCGTACGCCAGCGCAGTGCCCTCCGGAGTTGCCACGAACTTAGCGGTAGCGTTCAGAGCCTCGGTGCCGTTGGAGTCGGTAGCGTTCAGGGCAGCGGCGGCCTCGGGGGCCGAGAGCGGGACGTGTTCTGTCTCAGACATGGTTCTTCACAGAGGTGGGCTCAGAAGACTACCGGGACCGCGGCGGAAACTGACAGACGGAAGGAAAAGGACGCTGCGTGGTTCTCATTCATCTACCAGGTTCTGCTGGAGACTCGGTAAGGCCACGTTTCCTAAAGCAGAGAGCCCAGCAGAGACGGGAGGTCTCACTCTGGTGAGTTTCCTAAAGCAGAGAGTCCAGCAGAGACGGGAGGTCTCACTCTGATGAGTTTCCTAAAGCAGAGAGCCCAGCAGAGACGGGAGGTCTCACTCTGATGAGTTTCCTAAAGCAGAGAGCCCAGCAGAGACAGGAGGTCTCACTCTGGTGAGTTTCCTAAAGCAGAGAGCCCAGCAGAGACGAGAGTTCTCACTCTGGTGAGTTTCCTAAAGCAGAGAGCCCAGCAGAGACGGGAGTTCTCACTCTGGTGAGTTTCCTAAAGCAGAGAGCCCAGCAGAGACGGGAGTTCTCACTCTGGTGAGTTTCCTAAAGCAGAGAGCCCAGCAGAGACGGGAGGTCTCACTCTGATGAGTTTCCTAACGCAGAGAGCCCAGCAGAGACGGGAGGTCTCACTCTGGTGAGTTTCCTAACGCAGAGAGCCCAGCAGAGACGGGAGGTCTCACTCTGATGAGTTTCCTAAAGCAGAGAGCCCAGCAGAGACGGGAGGTTTCACTCTGATGAGTTTCATAAAGCAGAGAGCCCAGCAGAGACGGGAGGTTTCACTCTGATGAGTTTCATAAAGCAGAGAGCCCAGCAGAGACGGGAGGTCTCACTCTGGTGAGTTTCCTAACGCAGAGAGCCCAGCAGAGACGGGAGGTCTCACTCTGATGAGTTTCATAAAGCAGAGAGCCCAGCAGAGACGGGAGGTCTCACTCTGATGAGTTTCCTAAAGCAGAGAGCCCAGCAGAGACGGGAGGTCTCACTCTGGTGAGTTTCCTAACGCAGAGAGCCCAGCAGAGACGGGAGGTCTCACTCTGGTGAGTTTCCTAACGCAGAGAGTCCAGCAGAGACAGGAGGTTTCACTCTGATGAGTTTCATAAAGCAGAGAGCCCAGCAGAGACGGGAGGTCTCACTCTGATGAGTTTCCTAAAGCAGAGAGTCCAGCAGAGACGAGAGGTCTCACTCTGATGAGTTTCCTAAAGCAGAGAGCCCAGCAGAGACGGGAGTTCTCACTCTGGTGAGTTTCCTAAAGCAGAGAGCCCAGCAGAGACGGGAGGTCTCACTCTGATGAGTTTCCTAAAGCAGAGAGCCCAGCAGAGACGGGAGGTTTCACTCTGATGAGTTTCATAAAGCAGAGACGGGAGGTCTCACTCTGGTGAGTTTCCTAACGCAGAGAGCCCAGCAGAGACGGGAGGTCTCACTCTGATGAGTTTCATAAAGCAGGACAGAGTCCAGCAGAGACGGGAGGTCTCACTCTGATGAGTTTCCTAAAGCAGACAGCCCAGCAGAGACGGGAGGTCTCACTCTGGTGAGTTTCCTAAAGCAGAGAGCCCAGCAGAGACGGGAGGTCTCACTCTGGTGAGTTTCCTAACGCAGAGAGCCCAGCAGAGACGGGAGGTCTCACTCTGATGAGTTTCCTAAAGCAGAGAGTCCAGCAGAGACGGGAGGTCTCACTCTGATGAGTTTCCTAAAGCAGAGAGCCCAGCAGAGATGGGAGGTCTCACTCTGAGTTTCCTAAAGCAGAGAGCCCAGCAGAGACGGGAGGTCTCACTCTGGTGAGTTTCCTAACGCAGAGAGCCCAGCAGAGACGGGAGGTCTCACTCTGGTGAGTTTCCTAACGCAGAGAGCCCAGCAGAGACGGGAGGTTTCACTCTGATGAGTTTCATAAAGCAGAGAGTCCAGCAGAGACGGGAGGTCTCACTCTGGTGAGTTTCCTAAAGCAGAGTCCAGCAGAGATGGGAGGTCTCACTTGGATAAGTTATCTAAAGCAGGAATTAGTTCAGCAGAGACCACATCTCATTTGGATGAAGTGAGCTCATGTTATACATTTAAGTGAAATGGTTTCAAATCACCGTGGTTTTTGCGGCCCTTTTAGTGGCAGATGACAACTTTTACATCTTTAAGCCTGAACGGTACATTTGAATATGAATCCAAATAAAGTCCAAGAAAATATTTTGGCTTCTGCTGGTTTGCAGTTGAATTTAAGAGATGCTTTCATTAATACTTAATTCAAGGTTGTTTTAGTATTTACCTGTGTTTGAATCACTAAAGCAGAAACAAACAACTCGGGCCTGAAATAGGAGTTAAATGAAGACATTTTCTGTCATTAAGGAAAACTCTAGTTCTGTTTTAGTAATCATCTTACTTCAGTTTCCTTATTTTTTCAAGGAAACATACTCTAGCAGCAGTTTGTAGTTAAAAATAAGCAGAACATCCTGTACGCATCATGAAAAAAAATGACAAAAATCAAAAACGCTGTTGATGCCTGTCAGGTGGTTTTGGAGTGAAACGGGATGGTTGGGTTAGGGTTGGTTCTGTCCAACCCTAAAGGTCAGTGAACAGGAGCTCCAGCAGCGATTTCACTTGAACAATAGCAAATACATAACAACTGAAAACAATAATTCTGCTTAATTTTGTTAAACAAACTCTGCTATTTAGTTTTCCTTTGGTGAAAAAATAAGGAAACTAAATTAAATCATTAAAACTAAAACAGAACTAGAGTTTTTTCCTTTAAATGACAGAAAATGTCTTCATTTATCTCCACTTGTTCAGGCCCGAGTTGTTTGTTTCTGCTGTTTTTGATTCAAAAACACAGGTAAAAAAAAAACAACCTTGAAATAATATTAATGAAAGCATCTCGTAAAGGTCTGAGTGATGAAAACAATCAGAGCAGGAAAAAAAAAAACATTTTTCAGAGTTTCAACTTTCAGGACCGAATCAGACGATCACAGATCAGAGGAAGCACTGCACGATCACAGAGATGCAGAGGAAGATCAGCGGGGGCGTGGCCTGAAGAAGGAGGGCGGGGCTTTTTAGTGTCACCTCTATTGGGAAGTGGTCGCTCATCTCCAGGACCTGGCAGACAGAAGCAACAGAAAACCGTTCTGAATCTCTGAACTCACAGATCAAGTTGTTGATCAGAAACAAAAAATAAATAAATAAATAAAAGAAAGAAAGAAAATATAAATGAAATGTAAACATTAGTCTCCAAAATCAACAATAAAGAAACATTTTCAGAGTAGGACACAACGGTAGTGCATTTAAAGCCACTGGATCAGAAATAAGGGGCTCCAGTCCACGTTTGGTGGTGAGGCTTCAGAACTGGGAGTTAAAAACCCGAACCACGAATAAACGAGGATTGGAACCAGAGACCCGTCGCTCACAGCTGTTCAGCAGGACGTCTCAAATGTAACAAAATAAAAAGTCTTACTTTTCTCTGTGGGAGTTTGAACTCTCGACCAAAGTTAAAGACTTTGCCAGAAAATGGTTGGATCGCCTTTAGGAACGTCTGTCCGTGCACCACGATCCTATCGACCAATAAGGAGGGAGGTTACAGGTGAGAGAGGAAACCTCGGAGACTAAAACACACGCACACACACACACACCTGTCAAATGCACAGTTGGTGATGTCATTAACTGTGGTGTCCTCTCGGTCTCCGATCAACCAGGAGAAACTGGAATCTGAGTAAAGTCGGATATCCTTCCTGTCGCTCCGAGTCACATAGGCACAGCCGGCGTGGAAGTCACCCAGGAACATCACATTCTACACACACACACACACACACACACACACACACACACACACACACACACACACACACACACACACACACACACACTTCAAATTGCCCTGCCCACCTCCGATTCTTTCGTTTTCTTCGGTTTTTACTTTCATTTTGAGACGTTAAAGTTTCACCTCTTCTGGTTAACTTTCCTCTATTCCAATGTTACAAACTAATTTTGAGCAGAAGGTCAGTTAGAGGTCATCGTTAGGTAAACGAGGGCCATGTTTCCGACAGGTGAGTAAAACAGGAAGTATCAGCACTCTGCCTCCTCTGGATCTGCTATGGTTTCTTCTCTTAAAAGGTGAGGTTCACTGAAAACCCATTTTTTCTGGTTCTAACGGGTCACTCTGAGTGTTTCATGCAGGCTGAACATGAAAATAGTCTCCTACACCCATCTCCTGCTTTAGCTTCTGATAGAAAACAGACGGTGAAACTCTAGGATAGAAAATCCTGACAGATCTACGTCACCCTGTCACTAACATTCATGGACTCACCCATCTGGACTCCCGACGGGGAAGGCCGTTGTTGGTTTAGCGTCCAGGAAACAGCAGAGAACGTCTCTGCTAGTAGAAGCTAACTGTTAGCATTAGCAACTCCACCACACAGCAGAACTTCTCCAGGCTTGTGTTATTTGTGGAGATAAAAATAAAAAGCAAGTTATGTCCAAGATGAACGGACGTCCGCGGCATCGCAGAGACCCCCCCCCCCCCCCCCCCCCCCCGTACCCCCTTTATGCCGCCATCGCCTAATCTTTTATAGAAAGGACACGATTGCGCCACATTACTGCCACGGTCTGACCTCTTATAAACGACCTGAGGCTCCCTGATGCTGCCACGGTGTTGTAGCTAACTGACAGCATTGTTTTGTAAAAACGGCTAAAGTCAGTGGTAGAGTCGTGTTGCTGTTGGCCAATCAGAGGAGAGATGTCCACATATCAGGAAATACGACTCCAAACCTGCCGTCTGAAGCTCAGCTGGGATGTGGGCAACTTTTAGGTCTGAGAAATGGTGCACCCCATCAGGCTCACACACTGTAAACAATAATTCTGTCCTTCTTTGGTCATTTAGAAAAGAGTAAAGCTGACAACGCCCCAGCCAGCTGAGAAGGGAATCCGTTTACTGCAATCTTCGTTCCAACATGACCGAGACTGTTTTGTGATTATTTAACTGTAACTAGAATTATTACTTATTGCACCTTTAAACTGAAATAATTCTGTTCGACCTTCCCGCCTGATCGGATTCATACAGAAGCAACAGATTCTCAAACTGCCTTCAAACAGCTTCCTCACCGTGTTGTTCCACTGGGTGCTGACTTCCACAAACACGTCATAGAGCCCATCGATCTCCTGGACAGCCTGGTCTGGGTCGCTGTGCAGCGGGATCAGGATAAACTCCGGGATGGCTGAAGGACAGACAGAAGAACAGAATGGTCCTTTATCGTCTGGTGGCACAGCGGCTCGCTCCCACCGAGTACCGAGAGATGAAATCACGTCATTTAAAAAAAGACAACAACACAAACAGGTCAGAAAAATCCCACATGATGTCATCATTTAATCCTGTGTGTGTGTGTGTGTGTGTGTGTGTGTGTGTGTGTGTGTGTGTGTGTGTGTGTGTGTGTGTGTGTGGACTGGTTTCTGTTGTACTGACCCGTTTTGTTGCTGCTGAATCGAACCACGAACGGCGGCCTGACGAAGGGCTGTCCTGTGTACTGATACTGACCCGTCACCTTCACGCTGTGGGCTCTGTTCAGAGAGGAAGAGCGGTTCAGGCTTGGGGGTGGCAGGTCTGTGAGCTGATCCAGGCGCTCGACGGTGTCTTACCTGTAGATGAACACGTACTGCTGCATGTCACCGGGAGAGTTCCCCAGACCTTCACTGGCCACCGAAAGGTAACGATCACGATTGTACCTTCATAAATCCAAAGCAAACCTCTGATGAGTGAAACATGGCGGAAACCCGCTCAGACTCAACATGTTCCCAAACCCGTGGTGAGCGTATGACCTCATTTGACTCTAAACACAGAGCAGCCGGCGGAGTGTTGTTCGGGGTTCTGGGTCTGGATAAAACACACGACTGAAGCTCTTCTCTCATAAACCGTTAGCTAAAAGCATCTGGATTTGTTTATTAGAAAATTAGAGTTTTTGAAAACAAAAATAATATTAATCAAAAATGCTTCTTCTTGCTCTTTGGGCGTGTCCCTTTAGGGTATTCTCAGCCAATCAACCGTCTCTTTAGTCCAGACCTGGGCATTTTACGGCCCGCGGGCCACATACGGCCCTTTGGTTGACTTTGACCGGCCGCGTAAGGTTGATTGGAAATTACAAAATAAATGTATTTTCTCATTTTACCTCATGCATGGGCTAAGGCTGCATTGCTTTTATTTTGAAGTTGTTTTTTATGTACACAATGACGCAATACGCATGGCAACAAGTGCCTGCGGCTGACATGGTGATTGTAGCCCCCAGAAATGTCCGCTCATGCAAAAAAAAAAAAAAAAAAAAAAAAGAAAGATGCCGAATGCAGGATTTTCAACAAAAATTGGACTGCTACGTATTTTTTTACTGAAGTCGGAGGTAAAGCCGTGTGTTTGGTTTGCGGGGAGGAGATTGCCGTGTTTAAGGACTACAATTTGAGTCGGCATTACGACAAGAAACACTCGGAAAAATACAAGAACTTGTCTGATGCTGAGAGGGCACGGACATCCGAAGCTTTGCTAGCAAAGATGCAAAAGCAGCAAGGCTGTTTTACTAAGTTTCACACATCCAGGGATGCAGCAACCAGGACCAGCTTTGTGATATCCCACAAAATAGCTAAGAACAGCAAGCCGTTTTCGGAGGGAGAGTTTGTCAAAGAGTGCATGGTGGACTCTGCCGCACTAATATTCCTTGAAAAAAAGGCGCATTTGAGCAAATCCCGCTGTCCAGGTGAACCGTGACCAGGAGGATCGAGGACATTGCGGGGAACCTGGAGCTTCAGCTGCAACGTGAAGTGGCAAGTTTGGACTTTTTCTCATTGGCCTTAGACGAGAGCTGTGATGTCCGGGACACAGCCCAGCTGCTCGTATTTGTCCTGGGATAACGGAGCTCACAGAGGAGCTGGCAGCAATGCGGTCGATGAAAGGGACAACGACAGGGAGTGATGTTTTTACAGAGGTAAATGCGTGCACGGGCACTCTGGGATTGAAATGGGAGACGGTTGTCCAAATCTTACAGGGAAAAATGTCGGATTTTTGAAACGCATGCAAGATAAAGTGACAGAAATCGATGCAGGTCAAAAATTGGTGTTTTTGCATTGAATTATACACCAACATGTGTTGTGCAAGTCAGTGCTAAAAATCAACCATGTTACTGATGTTGTTACTAAAATAATAAACTTCATCAGGGCGCGGGCGATGGATCACAGACAGCTTCTCGCTCTTTTGGAGGACTTCACACAGCTGTCAGATGGCTCAGCCTGGGGAAAGTGCTGAAGAGGGTTTGGGACTTGAAAGCAGAGATTCGAGAGTTTTGCGAGAGGAAAGGCAAAGACATTCCAGAGCTCTCAGATGAGGATTGGATGGCAGATTTTGCATTTGCTGTTGATGTGACTGCACTGATGAATGAACTGAACACCAGACTGCAAGGCAAGGGCCTTTTCGTTCATGAAATGCACAGCCTCGTGAAGGCCTTCATGAGAAAGCTGCAGTTTCTTTCAAGTCAACTGGAGAGCAACACTCACTCACATGCAAACCCTGAACGAAGTCACACCATCAGCTGATCACCTCAGCAGTACTCGTCCATGTTAGGAGCATTACATGGTGAGTTTTCAAGGCATTTTGAAGATCTCAGAACAATCGAGGATGAAATGCATATGATTTCCTCTCCCTTTACCTGCAGTATGGATAAAGCACCCAGTGATGTGCAGCTGGAACTACTGGCAGAGCACTTTAAGTCAGGATCTCTGATGGATTTCTACTCTTCTCTTAAGGAGGAGAACTTTCCAAACCTGAGGAGACATGCTCAGAAGATGTTGGTTCTCTTCAGCTCTACCTACATTTGTGAACAAACATTTTCAATGATGAAGTTTACAAAATCCAGGTATAGATCCTCTCTCACTGATGATCATTTGCCAGCTGTGCTTCGCTTCTCCACCTCAGACATTCAACCTGACTGATGCACTCGTTAAAGCCCAGCAGAGACTAGATTTCTCTCATTGAATAAGAAAATAATCGCTTAAAAACACAAAATAAGGTGTTTGGACCACAAATGTAGGCAACTAGCAGTGAACTGGGACACTTTTTTTAAAACCTCTTTCTCAAGATCACAGTTCAGTGATTTTATTCTACAGACAATTCTGTGTGTCTGTAGAATGCTAAGAACCTCTTTCCAACAATATTTGAAGCTCAAAATGTGTTTTGGAGTGAATGTGACTGAAACTGTTAACTAATATAAGTCACAAATGTTTAACAAAAACCAAATGCGCACACTTTGTTTACCATTGCCTTGGGAAATTCGAATAAATCACATTTTTGTAAGCCAACCTCACTTTTTCCTTTTTGCTCATTTATAACATATAGTCTACTCTTACCAGCTTGAAAAATCAATGGTATTTACTGCTTTTTATAAAGAAATACCATTAATATTATGCATAATTGACTTCAGCCTTTTGGCCTGCGGCCCTCCACAATATTTTCTGTTTCTCATGTGGCCCCATGGAAAAAATAATTGCCCACCCCTGCTTTAGTCCCATCTCCTGCATCCTCTACCCTCACACCAACTAACTTCATGTCCTCTTCCACCACATCCATAAATCTCCTTGGTCTTCTCCTCAGCCTCCTGCCTGGTGGCTCCAACCTCATCATCCTTCTACCCATGTCATCACCGTCTCTCCTCTGGACATGTCCAAACCATCTCAGTCTGTCCTCTCTGACTTCACCTACGAAAAAATCTAACATGAGCCGTCCCTCTGATGGAGTCATTCCTGATTCTACTGTCCTCCTCACTCCCAAAGAGAACCTCAACATCTGGAACTCTGCAACCACCAGTTCTGCCTCCTGTCTTGTCCTTACGGACACCGTCTCTGAACCAGACAACATGGCTGCTCCATAACATAAACCAAAACATCCCATTTTAAAAAGCGGTTTCTTCAAAAGTTGTTTACCGCAATTTTGTAGCATAACCTGACAGAAGCAGGAACATTTGAAATAAATGGACACAAATCTCGTTACATGAAAAAAAAAATCTAGCTGATGACTAAGCAGATAGTTTGTGAACAATTCTCTAGCTAACGCTTATAGAGCTGCTGTAGATGCTAATGATGCTCTAGCTGATGCTAACAAAGCTGCTGTAGATGCTAATGATGTTCTAGCTGACCCTAACAGAGCTGCTGTAGATGCTAATGATGCTCTAGCTGATGCTAACAGAGCTGCTGTAGATGCTAATGATGCTCTAGCTGATGCTAACAAAGCTGCTGTAGATGCTAATGATGTTCTAGCTGACCCTAACAGAGCTGCTGTAGATGCTAATGATGCTCTAGCTGACCCTAACAGAGCTGCTGTAGATGCTAATGATGCTCTAGCTGATGCTAACAAAGCTGCTGTAGATGCTAATGATGTTCTAGCTGACCCTAACAGAGCTGCTGTAGATGCTAATGATGCTCTAGCTGATGCTAACAGAGCTGCTGTAGATGCTAATGATGCTCTAGCTGATGCTAACAAAGCTGCTGTAAATGCTAATGATGCTCTAGCTGATGCTAACAAAGCTGCTGTAGATGCTAATGATGTTCTAGCTGACCCTAACAGAGCTGCTGTAGATGCTAATGATGCTCTAGCTGATGCTAACAAAGCTGCTGTAGATGCTAATGATGTTCTAGCTGACCCTAACAGAGCTGCTGTAGATGCTAATGATGCTCTAGCTGATGCTAACAGAGCTGCTGTAGATGCTAATGATGCTCTAGCTGATGCAAACAGAGCTACTGTAGATGCTAATGATGCTCTAGCTGATGCTAACAGAGCTGCTGTAGATGCTAATGATGCTCTAGCTGACCCTAACAGAGCTGCTGTAGATGCTAATGATGCTCTAGCTGATGCTAAAAAAGCTGCTGTAGATGCTAATGATGCTCTAGCTGACCCTAACAGAGCTGCTGTAGATGCTAATGATGTTCTAGCTGACCCTAACAGAGCTGCTGTAGATGCTAATGATGCTCTAGCTGATGCTAACAGAGCTGCTGTAGATGCTAATGATGCTCTAGCTGATGCAAACAGAGCTACTGTAGATGCTAATGATGCTCTAGCTGATGCTAACAGAGCTGCTGTAGATGCTAATGATGCTCTAGCTGATGCTAACAGAGCTGCTGTAGATGCTAATGATGCTCTAGCTGATGCTAACAAAGCTGCTGTAGATGCTAATGATGCTCTAGCTGACCCTAACAGAGCTGCTGTAGATGCTAATGATGCTCTAGCTGACCCTAACAGAGCTGCTGTAGATGCTAATGATGCTCTAGCTGATGCTAACAGAGCTACTGTAGATGATAACAAGGCTTTAGCTATTGCTAACGATGCTCCAGCTAACGCCTACAAAGCTACTGTAGATGCTAATGATGCTCTAGCTGATGCTAACAGAGCTGCTGTAGATGCTAATGATGCTCTAGCTGACCCTAACAGAGCTGCTGTAGATGCTAATGATGCTCTAGCTGATGCTAAAAAAGCTGCTGTAGATGCTAATGATGCTCTAGCTGACCCTAACAGAGCTGCTGTAGATGCTAATGATGTTCTAGCTGACCCTAACAGAGCTGCTGTAGATGCTAATGATGCTCTAGCTGATGCTAACAGAGCTGCTGTAGATGCTAATGATGCTCTAGCTGATGCAAACAGAGCTATTGTAGATGCTAATGATGCTCTAGCTGATGCTAACAGAGCTGCTGTAGATGCTAATGATGCTCTAGCTGATGCTAACAGAGCTGCTGTAGATGCTAATGATGCTCTAGCTGATGCTAACAAAGCTGCTGTAGATGCTAATGATGCTCTAGCTGACCCTAACAGAGCTGCTGTAGATGCTAATGATGCTCTAGCTGACCCTAACAGAGCTGCTGTAGATGCTAATGATGCTCTAGCTGATGCTAACAGAGCTACTGTAGATGATAACAAGGCTTTAGCTATTGCTAACGATGCTCCAGCTAACGCCTACAAAGCTGCTGTAGATGCCAAAAATGCTCTAGCTGACGCTAACAAAGCTGATGTAGATGCTAATGATGCTCTAGCTAATGCTAACAGAGTTGCTGTAGATGCTAACGATACTCTAGCAGACACCAACAAAGCTGCTGTAGATGCTAATGATGCTCTAGCTAATGCTAACAGAGTTGCTGTAGATGCTAACGATACTCAAGCTGACGCTAATGAAGCTGTTGTAGATGCTAATGATGCTCTAGCTACAGATGCTAATGATGATCCAGCTAACATCAACAAAGCTGCTGTAGATGCCAACAATGCTCTAGCTAATTCTATCTGAGCTGCTGTAGATGCTAATGATGCTCTAGCTAATTCTATCTGAGCTGCTGTAGATGCTAATGATGCTCTAGCTAATGCTAACAAAGCTGCTGTAGATGCCAACTCTGCTCTCCCCACCAATTCCACCTTCCTCAGGATCCACTGATTCCCCTCTTTCCTTTTCACTCTCTCTCTTTCTTAACATTTTTTTAATCACAATTGCCTATTTTTTTCTTATCTTAAATATATTTTTCAACTATTTCTAAATGCTTTTTTATATTTTTACATTTTTTGTGAAGCGCCTCGTGATTTTTATCTTGAGAGGCGCTATAGAAATGATACTTTCTTCTTCTTCTTCTAACGATACTCTAGCAGATGCTAACAAAGCTGCTGTAGATGCTAATGATGCTCTAGCTAATGCCAACAGAGCTGCTGTAGATGCTAACGATACTCTAGCTGACACTAATGAAGCTGTTGTAGATGCTAACGATGCTCGAGCTGAAGCCTATAAAGCTGCTGTAGATGCTAATGATGCTCTAGCTGATGCTAACAAAGCTGCTGTAGATGCTAATGATGCTCAGGCTAACATCAACAAAGCTGCTGTAGATGCCAACAATGCTCTAGCTGATGCTAACAAAGCTGCTGTAGATGCTAATGATACTCTAGCTGACGCTAATAAAGCTGCTGTAAATGCTAACGATACTCTAGCTAATGCTAACAGAGCTGCTGTAGATGCTAATGATACTCTAGCTAATGCTAACAGAGCTGCTGTAGATGCTAATGACACTCTAGCAGACGCTAACAAAGCTGCTGTAGATGCCAACAATGCTCTAGCTGACGCTAACAAAGCTGCTGTAGATGCTAATGACGCTCCAGCTAAAGCTAACAGAGCTGCTGTAGATGCTAACAATGCTCTAGCAGATGCTAACAAAGCTGCTGTAGATGCTAACAATGCTCTAGCTAATGCTATCTGAGCTAGTAATTTATTTATCAACAACAGAAATGTAACATGCAAAAATATTTTTCAACTAGCACACCCTTGTTAGCCCCCATGCTAGCACATCCCACAGATCCACACAAGCACAAACATGTGGTCATAATGGGATGTGGCATCCTTTTGAGTTAGAACGAAGTTTGTTTAGAAGTATTTTTCTGTTAGAATAGCAACGAATCAAACCAACCACCAAACATTTTAAACGTTCCACCAAAGAACCAAAAGCAGGAAGGTCAGATTAAATTCCCTTTTAGACACCAGAGAGAAATGGGTTCTGGGCAAAGTCATGTCATCAGACTCAAACGGGACCAAACTGGTTCAGTTCTATCAGAACAGTAAATCTGACCCACACAGAGTCTTTGCTAGCACACGGGAGGTGGTTCTTATCCTCAGGCTCTGTCACAATAAAGTAAATAATCTTAGTTTCCTTTTAATCCAGTCAGTTTTTGTCCAAATTCGGCAACGGAGAACATTACAGAAGAAGTGAGTGTGACTGTGGATTGGGTCCTTTTAAGTGAATGTCTAAATGATGATGACCTCATCACACAAATCTGATTGATAAGAAAAACAAGAGTTGTTGTGTATCCAAGTAGTTCAGAAACACTTCTATGTTACTGAAATCATTTTTGTCTTCAGCATGAAAACATTCTGCTTCATATCTTTGTGTGGGATCAAAAAGCTATGGTTCTGGATTTGGTTCGGGCAGGTTCAGTTCCTCCTCTGTGAATCTTTCTGTTCTTCCAGAACATCCAGAACCACCTCTTCTGAAACTCAAGTTTTGATCCCACAGAAGGCGTACAGCAGAAGTGAAGCAGAAGGTTTCGGCAAACATTTAGAATGTATGAGAGTTTTTGATCCAGCTGATGTTAAACCTGGACCCGGTTGGTTCCCCAACAGATTCTGTGCAGAGGTGATGAGACGTGATGACATCAGACAGCTGATAGCATCAGAAGGCGCAGAGCTTAACTAGCCTAGCTTAGCATTGCTGCTTCAGCAGTTTGACAAGACCACCGCTGCTCTGATGGAAAAGCCCAACTGCCCAGAACACAGGTACGGATCCTCAGAGGAACCAGGAGGTAAAACAAAGGTGCTTTAATACTCTGATAAAATCCACTGTACCTGAACAACTTCCTGTGGGACGCAGACAGAAAACAAGCAACACCACATGAGTTTCATATGCAGCGTTAGCATCCAGATCATCACAATTACACCATTTATCTCTATTATAAGACAGGTGAGGCGTCCCAGGTGGGGGTGATTCTGGTTTGATTGGGTTATTTCAGATAAGGAACACCAGTGGGTCTCTGGTTTTTACGTAATATTTAGGTTTCATACATAAACTTCAGTCTGCGTACATCTGTGTTGCTTTTTTTAGGGACCAGGAAGACATCTGATGTTTGAGTGAAAGTTTCAGTGTTAGAAGAGCGAAAAATCTCAAACTGAAACTGCATCCTGTAACCCGATCGACCAATCAGCTGATGAATAAAGATGATAATCAAGAACACCACACGTCTGTTACCATGAACTCTGTTAGTTTCTAAAACGGAGCTGTGAGGGTGGAGGCAGATGATTGACAATCTCTGAGCAAACGTAGCTACGGGCTAACCAAAGCTAATGGAGCTTGGCGGGTTCTTTTAGCCAGAAAACCGCGATTTCTCCCCTCTGGTTTTTAGGCTGTAACACTTCTAATGTGATGCCGAGGCTGAGGCCTGCCCTGGAGCAAGCAGGAGGCTAGCTGCTAGCGCTGACGGCTCATCTGCTTCCTGTCAATCAAGAGGACACGCCCCAAATAATTCATAATTTCAAGCTTTACTTACATCCAAATAGGGATGGGTACTTTTGACATCTGAATCGATTTGGTACCAATTGCCGGTACCTAGGAATCCATACCGGTACTTAACGGTACCAATTTTCGATACTTTTGAGTGTTTAATATTTTTAATTCTCTTTTATAATTAAATATATATTTTTCTCAATATATAACCGTATTTGATAAATAACATACAACTGTTTGTATTTTAACATCGTCCTTGTAGTTTTATAAGCTGATAATTAAACTGAAGCAAACATCTTTACTGTGAACTAAATTTACTGTGTATCTTCATTTCTTTTGCCGTCCTTTCTCTTTGATTTTTCCTACTGGGAAGTTAGAATTTCCGAGGAGAAAGCGAACGCACCATTAGCTGATAACAATGGTGGCAATGGAAGCTAACATATCAAGCTAACGTTATCTTAAACTATTTATTTAACTGCTGGAGCAGATTAAAACGATGATGCCTCACACTTAGATCGTTGTCGCTGGTTTCATCTTCACCCAATCACCCGTCGCATTTAGTAAAGTGAAGCCAAACTTTAGAGCGCATTCATGTTCTAGTCGGAAATTCTGAGTTCTGAGGAGATAGCGAACGCACCATTAGCAGAGCGGAAGCTAACATATCAAGCTAACGTTATCTTACATTTTATTTACCTACCGGAGCAGATTAAGATGAGGATGTCTCACTTAGATCGTTGTCGCTGGTTTCATCATCACCCAGTTACCCATCACATTTAGTGAAGTGGACCCAAGCTTTAGCGTGCGTTCTTTCTACCATGCTGCTCTGTTTACAACTCGCTCGCAGCGACCGACGACATAACGCTCTTGCGCATGCGCAGCTGTCTTGGCAAGTTCTCGTTATGAAGGACGGGTACCGAAACGAGACACCATTTCAAATGACGTGAACCGGTATTCAATCGGTACTACGGAATTCGGTCGGTACCTTAGAAAGTACAGAATTCGGTACCCAACGCTACATCCAAACGTGTGAGTTAAAAAGCTTCACCCCCCCCTCAGAGCTGCCATGATCTATTAAACCTAAAATGGGTTTTGGAGCCAGGCTGGAAACATGTTTATTTCTGCTGTGAAATTGGCATTGCTCATTTCTAGATCCAGCCCCTAGTGGATGAGGGGGGAACTGCATTTTTTTTTTTTTTTACTTCTGTCTGAACATCACTTGGGCCAGCCGGAGGTTCCTGCTTGGTTTAGACCAGCTGGACCTCAGGTGTGTCCAGGTTAACCAGAAGGTGCTTTTTAAGGGTTAAATATACCTGCTGAGGTTCGACAGGAGAGCTTTGATGGCCTTCCTGTCTGGATCGACCACATGCAGCAAGAGACAGATGTCACAGCGAGACACAACCTGTGGAGGTGGAGATGCCCATAACTCTACAGGAACTGGATACTTAGCGTGCGCGCGCGTGTGTGTGTGTGTGTGTGTGTGTGTGTGTGTGTGTGTGTGTGTGTGTGTGTGTGTGTGTGTGTGTGTGTGTGTGTGTCCTACCCGTGTAAACGTGTGCAACATTCGTAGGTCAGATGCTTTGGAGAGAGTAAAATTCTGCACGTTGTACGAGCAGATCTTGAACCCCGACACTCTTCCAATGAAGAGGCTGAAGATGGTGAGGGGGAGGAGGAGAGACAGACCAGCAGAGCGCCCCCTCATGGCGGGATCTGTAGAAACAACAGAGCGATAAATAAGTCTCAGCATTAGAGAGGAACTGTGAAATAAACCCTTCTTTCTTGTCCTTCCGAATCAGAGCAGATCTATAAAGTACGCTTCTGAATGACACAAACTGAATCACTTCCTTGTCCTCGAGTCAAACAGAAAGAACTGATTTCCCTCTTCAGACGCAAACCAGCTCCGAAACAAAAACACAACATGTTAGGACGGTTAGGACTCGTGAACACGGCCCACAGAATCCCAGAATTCAATCGGATCTGGGTGGAGGATCCAGAAATGACAAAAAATAAGTCAACAAACAAAATAATTTTACTTTCGAAAAGTTTCAAGATCAAAAATCACTAAACTTCAGATTATTGGAGCAGAAAAGACAAAAATATCATAAAAATTATCCAAAAAACTGTCAAATTAAAGCAGGTAAGATAATAAAACAGGAGGCAGTGGCGGTTCTAGACTACCAGTAAGGGGGCTACTGCTCTATTGGCGCAGTGGCCCCCTTGCATTAGCTAGAGCCCCCACCCTATAAATGAGAAGCTCTGCCTTACAATAAAATAATCAGTGGGTCCACGTTTGTAGGGGCAGCAGCAGCTCAGGAGGGAGAGCGGGTTGTCCGGTATTCCGGAGGGTTCAAGGATCGATCCCGGCTCGTTTCAGGGAATTTTTCGGTTGTGCCCTTAGGCAAGACACTTCCCCCTCCTTTCCTGCTGGAGGTGGTCGGACGGACCGGTGGCATCTAAAGCCTAATTTATACTTCTACGTGAGCTCCACCAGGGGGAGACACTCATCTAAGGATGGAGCCATTTTGCCCTCAGACTTCTCCGTCTCCTCGGGAGTGTTGCAAAGCAATTCCCTGCCAGGACAGCAGAGGGCGTAGCGCTGTTCTGTGGTATCCTGTCACGTTTCTGGTCCAGGATAGTGTGTTTACACTGTGTTTTTTGTATTTAAGACTTTTTAACACAGACAAATTCGTCCCTCATCCTCCTCCACCTCTAAACCCACGTTTCCCTTCATTTTTGTCCACGAATAAAACGTTTGCTGCGCATCTTTTCACTCCTCCGGTCACGGGGGAATAAAACGTTCATATTTGTAGTTTTTCAGCGAGGTTTTCTTCAAGCTGCTCCGTGTCTGCCGCTAGTTATCCTCGGCTCTCTTAATGTTTTTGAGGGCCCAATGGCGGCGCTGTAGACGACAGCGGCGCCCCGACCAATCACAAGCTTGCGTTCTCCGTCTCGAAGGACAGATGTTTAGAAAAGAGAGCCTGCTGGACAGTCCTCGAAAGAACGGATAATGGCGTTGCGTGCGACCGTCCTGATACAGACGGACGAGTATAAATTAGGCTTAAGACAGCCACGCTTGTGTCAGTGCGCCCCAGGACAGCTGTGGCTACACCGTAGCTCACCAGCGTGTGAATGTATACGTGTGAACGGATGAAGTGCTTTGGAGTCTGCTGACTCTGAAAGGCGTAAATCGTTTAATAATGCTTAGGCCCCGCCCCCAGCAGGGAGGCCACAGGGGTGGGGGTTACTGACCCCCACAAGTTCAGAAAACCCCTTACCTGCATCACCAAGAGCTGGGTCAAATGTACCAGATCCAAACCAAACACAAGATTCTTGGTTATAAATCTGATTTGTCAGCTTTAGGTAGTTAGTCAGAGGCACAACCAGCGCCAACAGGAAATATTTAACCCAACCTGCAGGAAATGAATGAGTTACACTTCAAACCCGCAGAGGGGAGAAGCGACAGCGTGAGAACGCGTATGACGACCAGCAGCGTGTCGGGACGCGAGCGTCTGCAGGCGATGAGACGGGACTAAAAAAACCTGTTCACAGCGACCACTTTCACAACGGTGTTACACAACCAGAACCAGAACCTTCAGGAGTCTGATGGCCCACTAACAGCAGCAGCAGGTGGTGCTGAACCCGGAGCAACACACGATAAAGAGTACAACACTAAAACAGCTGAACCCACTCTAGCAAAGCTAAAGAAACAGTCTGAAGATCAACTTGTCGAAATATAAAAACAGATCACTAATCAGAGCTGAATGTAATTTAAATGAATCAAAAGATCCATTCAGAGTTTCAGGAGTCAGTTGAAGTTAAAACCAGTCACCGATGGGGGGAAGGGGGGGATAATTAGCTCATAACCGACCTCCCGGGGAACGACCACGTCGCTGGAGAGATCGTCACCATCGTCTACAGACAGAGGTGGTTCAGAGAGCCATCAGCAACAGGTAAGATATTCACTGTTCATTTCCCTCCATAGAAACTCTCCAGAACTCATTAGATCCACTTTCTGTTTGGACCCCAGGCTGCACCTGGCAGCCCATCAGAACCAGAACGAAGGGATCTAGTCCAACAGGACTCCGGTTTGGTTCGTTTCTACTTGACGACTAAAAACAGGTGATTTTCTGTCCTAATTTAAAGTCTGTTTTGTGTTTCAGAGCGAAACTGGAGCAGCTCAGTGGAAGATCAGGAAACCACAGAAGGAGAATTTAATGTTTGTTCATAGGCATGTGTATTGGTGAAATTCTGGCGATACGATACGGGGAGACGATACAATATATCGCGATACGTTCAGCCAGACAACATTAGCGATTTTTTAGACTGAATTTATTGTGGGAAAATCAATTAACAGTCCAAAATGATACACAACACCTTTAACGTGAGGTATCTGAACCATAATGGAGGGATTTACATTTTAGTGGTGGATAAAAATACCATTGCACACTGCTGCCCACTAGTGGTCGGCGTTTGAATTGCACCCACAGAAAAGAAAATACAGAAATGTTTACATGTAAATTCTTACCAAATAATTCAATACACGGTGAAGCTGGGTTTTAATCATCGACATATAAATATTGGACAATGGGTTTCCATAGGCTCCAATAACACGTTTTTGAGGCTAAATTGGAGGTGGCCACCACCGCCATTTTGACCGTGTCACAGGTTCCGTCAAGCCAAGACAATTCCACGAAAGGGAAGAGAGGTGGAGCTGAGGGTGGGGCTGTAAGGCTGAGATCAACTGACAACACCCGGTCAAGCTAACCTGAAGCTAACCCAAAGCTAACGCGGAGGTGGGAGCTAAGCTAACGGAGGTAGCAACCTAGCTACAACCGGAGTTAACTGTGCACAACACCAGAGCTTCTGAGTCAGAGATACGCCGGGCTGACCGCTGGGTAAAACCGGGTGGAACACAGAGGTCTCCCGAGAGCTCCACAAGCCGATAGTGGGAACCCAGCTCCACCAACATGTTATATTTCAACCCATTTTCTAAAGTGCAGCATTATGTTAAATGCACTGGGTTTTACCCTATTACATTTACATTTCATGGTTAAACAGTACATGTTAAAATCTAAGCTCAGCTCGGCAGTGACCTAAAATACATAAATATAATTTTACTTACTGAAAAAAATGAAGTAGAGACTCCTTGGACGCTCTATTAGTGCAATTAATGCCACAGCAAGTCATTTTGTCCAACAATTGCACAAATAATATCCAAACAAGAATACACAAACACAGAGACTCAAAATCCCGGAACAGTTTCCAGGCCAGACCGAGGCTCTACTGAGGCCTTTCCCTGGAGCTAGCTCTGTGGTCACGTGGGTCTGATGCTCATTAATTATACAGAATTTTAGGCTTTTAATACACTTAAACAGAAGAGTGAGAAAAACATTCACCCCCCTCAGAGTTGTCATGAGTGTAAACTAGGTCATTTAAACCAAAAACATGTTCTGGTACCAGGCTGTAAACATGTTTATTTCTGCTGTGAAATTGGTATTTTTAACATGGGAGTCAATGAGGATTTGCTCGATTCTGACACCAGCCCCTAGTGGATGAGGGTGGAACTGCAATTTTTGGTATTTCCGGGATTACTTCAATTTTTGAGCCGCATTGTGGGGGCTTGGGTTTAATGAACCACAAAATACTTAAAAAACGGGGTTCTTTATTCTAAAAAAAGTAGTTTTCCTCCTTTTCAAACAGTTGGAAATGCAAAACCGGCACACACAAACGGGTTACAAAACGGCAGTGGCACTTCGAGACACTCGAATATTTGTTCAGGTGGCTTAATGCATCGTCTTTTCCCAACCAGGCTCAGCTCAATATGTCTTCTTCAACCCCCCACAATGCGGCTCAAAAATTGAGGCCAACCCGGAAGTACCAAAAATTGCAGTTCCACCCTTATCCACTAGGGGCTGGTGTCAGAAGCGAGCAAATCCTCATTGACTCCCATGTTAAAAATACCAATTTCACAGCAGAAATAAACATGTTTACAGCCTGGTACCAAAACATGTTTTTGGTTTAAATGATCTAGTTTACACTCATGACAACTCTGAGGGGGGTGAATTTTTTTCTCACTCTTCTGTTTAAGTGTATTAAAAGTAGCGTTGTCAAAAAAATCGATACCTAGATACAAATCGATACTAAAAGTGGTATCTAAATGAGATATTCCATCCCTGTGGTATCGATATTATGGACTATTATACACAGCCTTCTTCAAGTACACCGACACGCACGACAGCCAGGTGCCGTAAAGCAGCCTCCGCCTCCCAGACAAACAGAAGAAGAAGACGCCGCATGGCTACATTGCAATTTCCCACGCGAGTTGTCTCCGATCCAAATGTTGTCTGCCAAATAAATAAACAAAAACATAAACAGCGAATTTGGGAGGCGCTTCACAGCCCAACTTAACTAGCATACCAAGTCCGACACGTAGTTGTATATTCACGCTTATGTGCTTAAAGGAAACTCCCGTTTATTGCAACCCGGACTTAATTTCTAGCATGCAGTACGTTTGTTTACTCATGCTGACAACTTTGGTGCTACTTGGATCCCCCGGGGTATTTAGATCCATCGGCGAATCGCCGTCAGTGTAGGGCTGCAACAACGAATCGATGAATTCGATGAAAATCGATTACTAAAAGCGTTGGCAACGAATTGCGTCATCGATTCGTTGTGTCGCACAACTCTTCCAAAAGCGCACCCCCCCCCCCCCTTCCCGCCCACCGTTGCGCGCAGACCAGAGCAAGTCAGATCAGCGCGAGGGAGAGCCGCAGATCAGCGCGAGGGAGAGCCGGCAGACTTGCGCTGCTGCGAACCGGTTCCGCATTGTTGCACTGCGATCCAGGCAGCTGCTTCCAGCGCACGGTCCATTCTCAAAGTGGCGCAACCAAAAAACTATAATTAGCACACGATCGTTCTTGTCTGCACATGTTCTCTATTTTCTGTCTTATTTGTGCCTGAAGCGCTCTGCTGCGGAGCTCATCACCTGTGCTGTGGTGATTTCACCTCACGCAGCATCGAAAACGCGCTCTCCGCTTTTCGGTCAGGAGATCCCTTTGATCTGCTCAAAAGTAACTGATGAGGTGAAAAAGTAAGAATCCAGGCAACAGATTTTCTGGAGAATTATGAGGAGATGCAGGAAGATGAGAGACAGACAGGACAGGAAAATAGTTAAATAAAAACAAGAAAACAAAGTAAAATGTAGGTAGATTTATCTCCACTACACGTTTTTACCAGTAAAAAACAATAAGTTATACACATGTCATATTTATACATCTGATACAATTCAGATCACCTTCAAAACTCAGTCACACACCCAGGGCCGTTTCAAGACATTTTGGGGGCCAAGGCAAAATGTCTCCCCCCCATATCCCCCCCCCCCCATAACTGGGCTCCCCAGAAGCCTCTGTGTAATTGATGCCCTCTCCAGGAGTGTTAGTTATATGGTGTTTGTAAAAGCCCCTCAGACATTACTGACATGTTCTAATATATCAGATGAAAAACTAAATTATCAGACATGCTGTCTCATCAGCTTCTTTTCTAAACTTGCAAAAAGTAACAAAACCATTTGAAAGCCACTATTTGTGGATTATCTGAAAGTTTCCATGGAGTGTGTGACAACTTATTTTTTCATTGATCCTATCGTCTAATCTCACAGTTGAAACAAGCATCCTTAATAATCTGTGCACAGGAAGCTTACCGATGCTGTAGTAAAACAAAAGGTATAATAATTTATTATTAATAAAACCTTGTTGCAGCACTAAAGCATAAAAATGAGATTTTGCATTAAATATGCAAAATATTTACATATGAATTGTTTTAGAGCCCTTTTATTGGCAGAATCTGATATTAATTTAGTTCTTACAAAAAATGGGTCCCAACATGGTTTGTGTGGCGTTGCCATAGTGTGACGTCATAGGCACAGATCCCCTGTCCTCTTGTTTGGAAATGGAAATATGGTCACCCTACATTAAACAAACTGTCCACCCGGGCTTTTGCGCTGCACAGAGACGCTTCGCTGCCTATGACTTCGAATGTCAGTTGAGAGTCAGTCTCATGCAGACTGACCAATGAAGAGAGGGCCTCAAGTTAAGACCCTCTCCTCATTGGTCAGTCCACACGAGGTGGGTCAAAGGTTACTCTGGGCGGGTTATGTGTTGTCAGGCATTCAAGTATTGAGTATATTTACTGCATATTACAGTAAAATATTCTGTATGTGACCACATTATGGTGATCCTCGGGTCGTGATGATGGAGCCCTTGAATATTGTTGCCCAGGGTACAACAAAGTGTTAATCTGGCCCTGGTTCCGCCGTCACATTCCCGCAGAAACTGGTTGATCACACCGGGGCCAGACTACTAGCATGTGGTTTTACAACCACAATGTCCTCGGAAGCAAAAACGCTTTTAAAAGGGAGGGAGGAGTCCTAACTGTTGCTGCAGGCGTGTTGTTAGAGAGTGCACTTATATACTGGTTAATATATTTTTGGGTTCAGTTGCTTTCATGTGGCCTAATGTGAGTCTATTTGGGATCATTGGAATGATCAGCAGCATTTCTTGATGTGACTTTATGGCAGTTGCCCAGGGCATCATCGCAAGGAGAATGGCATTCATTTACTTTTGTTTTATTTGGTATTTTTTCAGTCATTTTTGGAAATAGTGATCAATTTTGATAAATTCACAGCCTATGTTTAATTACATTTAAAATAAATGTCAACAGATGAGATCAAACAAAACAGATGAGAATTGCCCTTAAGCTGTTTAACTTGGACCAAGCATTTTAGGTCACAGATAGATGTAGCTTAGGGTCTCTGTCTATACACCTTATAAGACAATTTAGGTGATGGCATGTTGTTTTTCTGCTATTGAACTGTTTTCTAATAATGTTGTGTTAAATAAAGTGAAGGAAGGAGAGAAATAACGTTTCCCTAGCAGTTTTTAAAAATTTCCCCATGTAATCCGATTAATCGATTAATCGTGTCGAGACCCCATCCGATTAATCGATTATCCAAATAATCGTTTGTTGCAGCCCTACGTCAGTGTATATCCATATAACGGGTGCAGCCTCGAAATAAGTCATTATTTGCACCAAAACATCTTCATGTCGAAAGGTTTTGTTAGGAATCATTAACGTGATTCCCCTGTTCGTTTGGAGCGGGTCTGGGATTTCTAGGCGTGAACAGACTAGCTGCGGCTAATTAACCGGCGCTTTTAATGACGTCACTGCCGTGCGCCAGTCTGTTTTTATTAAGATTACCGGTAGATGTACCTTTGTCCTACTGTGGAGAAATTCGTTTTCTCCCTTTATTGACCAACAGAGTTGTTCAAAAGTACAGAACAAAACATATGGCATTACATCTTATGACAAAAATGCACCTTAAACAGAGTTTAAGCAGCAAAACATCACTCTGCAAATACTGTATATATAGTGATACAATTCATGATTTAAAGTGTTAACTTTTGCCAGTTTTTGTATGCACGTTTTAAAAAATGCTGATACTTGAAAGTTTTACGCACTTTATACACTTAATTCTTAACATTTCATTTTTGCAATATAAATTGAGGAATGTTATTTTTTGAATAAACTTGTTCAATAAATGGGTGTTTTTAAATAGTATCGAAATCGAGTATCGAGTTTTTTTTTGCAAGTATCGAATCGAGTTTGAAATTTTAGTATCGTGACAACCCTAATTAAAAGCCTAAAATTCTGTATAATTAATGAGCATCAGACCCACGTGACCACAGAGCTAGCTCCGTGGAAAGGAGAACCTCGCTCCGTAGAGCCTCGGCCTCACCTGGAAACTGCTCCGGGATTTTGAGTCTCTGTGTGTGTGTAATCTTGTTTGGATATTATTTGTGCAATTGTTGGACAAAATGACTTGCTGTGGCATTAATTGCACTAATAGAGCGTCCAAGGAGTCTCCACTTCATTTTTTTCGGTAAGTAAAATTATATCTATGTATTTTAGGTCACTGCCGAGCTGAGCTTAGATTTTAACATGTACTGTTTAACCATGAAATGTAAATGTAATAGGGTAAAACCCAGTGCATTTAACATAATGCTGCACTTTAGAAAATGGGTTGAAATATAACATGTTGGTGGAGCTGGGTTCCCACTATCGGCTTGTGGAGCTCTCGGAGACCTCTGTGTTCCACCCGGTTTTACCCAGCGGTCAGCCCGGCGTATCTCTGACTCAGAAGCTCCGGTGTTGTGCACAGTAAATTCCGGTTGTAGCTAGGTTGCTACCTCCATTAGCTTAGCTCCCACCTCCGCGTTAGCTTTGGATTAGCTTGTAGCTAGTTCGACCGAGGTGTCATCAGTTGATCCCAGCCTTACAGCCCCACCCTCAGCTCCACCTCTCTTCCCTTTTGTGGAATTGTCTTGGCTTGACGGAACCTGTGACACGGTCAAAATGGCGGTGGTGGCCACCTCCCATTTAGCCTCAAAAACGTGTTATTGGAGCCTATGGAAATGAAATGTCCAATATTTATATGTCGATAGTCTTCCTTCATCTTCCTCATGCAAAACTGCGCCACACTAGTGAGGCTTTTTTCACTTCCTGGAATTTTCTACCTCTAAACATGGAACCAGCGCCACTCTATGACCAAAACATGTATTGCAACCAGAAAACTGAAATAAACGGGATTTATAATGCATATAACGGTACCCATTTTTCACCTGGTTACACACGGCTTTTGAATATTGATACAATATCGCCGGAAAGTAAGTCACGATATGATGCCATACCGATATTTTCTTAAAATGACTATTTGTTCATGTTTTCAGCCCGTTGAGTCACCAGAGCGGAGTCGGTTCCAGGTCCTTAGATCCGAGTCTAACCTGTCGAACAACTTCTGTCTCTCTCTCTCTCACACACACACACACACACACACACACACACACACACACACACACACACACACACACACACACACACACACACACACACACACACACACACAAAGAACTAGTCTCGAACTCACCCAGAGTTCCAACAAACAGCTGGGTTCTGAGCGGACACCAGCAGGTGGTTCCGGTCCAATCCGGAGAGTTCTGGTTCTGGCTCCAGAACCCTGTCCAGCTGACCCGGAGATGCGCAGAATGTTTTCCAACTACTGAAAGTTTACGTTCACCGGCAGGGTGGAGGCTCTCAGCCAGCTAGGTGCGACTGTAAGCCTCGCCCACCACTTGTCTTCCTGATGACAGGCTGGTCACGTGACACACCGCCATGCTGCACTTAAGTACCACAGGAAAAATGGGAGTTTTATGTTTCAGAGTTCTCCCTCAGCGTCCCAATTCTGGCGCTGCAGCCTCTGCGATGTACTTGGAGGAAGTGCGAGTGTGTACAAATAACCTGGGACAGTTAGCTTTACGTCATCGACCACGAGTTCCTAAATGCTGCTTGAAATTATTTTACAAATAAAAGATGTAAAATAAGTGATTAAATAACGGTTGTGTTCAAAAACACACCAGCTCTGTTATCAGTCATTCAACAATATTTTCTAACAGGGAAACACTTGATTAAAGTACACAATATTGAAATATTTATTATCTTGATAATCATTATTTATTACAAATGTTCAGAAAGGGCTCTTGAGCCACTTCGGCCTAATCCCAGAACTCTGCGATCCCTGCGGTCTTCAGCAAAGTGCACTTGGAGAAAGTGTGCAGTGAGGCTTCAAGCGTGTAGGACGCGTCTGCAAAGAATTGCCAACTGAGACAGAGAGCATTGCATCATCGTCGATGACAACGCATGCCGGGACGCTGGTTGTTGTGATACTTTTTTCAAAAACCTTTATTAACAGCCAAACAATTAGTTGAACTAAATTTACATTCATTGCTGCTTTATTTAAAAGTGTCAGAGCATCAATGAATCATTCAAAAATGAACTGATTTAATTAGAAAATACATATTTTCAGAAAAGGCACTTGAGCCTTTCCTCCTGCAGCGATGGACTGTGAGTAGTACCCTTCACACAAGTCTGCATCGATGCGACCTTCGGTGAAGTGCGGATCAAGGGTGCAAAAGGGGCGTGATCAACTTCCGCACTTGGGAATCGGGACACTCGCACCGCTGGACAGGAAGGCTATTTGAACCACTTATTCAGGGTCGCATGTGTCCAACAGCTCCAGACACCTGGACAGGTGTCCACAACACGGCCCGTGTCTGAAGCTGTAGATGGAACTTTTTTAGACAAAATCAGAAACAGGGAAAATAAATAACTGATGAATATTTGTAAATATTTATTTTGTGATTTTCTAGGCTCCCAAAATACGTTTTAGTTATTTTCTAAAACAGGAGAAAATTTTGTTTATTTAATAAAATCAAATAACATTTGATTTAGTTTTAGTTTTTTAAAAGTTAGACCAGACAGGAGGAAACATCGCGTTCAGGTTTATTTCCGGTCTGCTTTTGAAGTGTCTTGCCCAAGGACACAACAGCAGCATTCTCTGGCGGTAGCCGGAATCGCCCCTACAACCTTATGATTCCTGGACACCCTGCTGAGCTGCTGCTGTCCTTTATGTTTTCAGACATTTATTAGAAAACAAAAACAGTTCAGGACGTAGATCTAACGGGACTGCTGTAGATCAGCTGTTCTGTCATCGTCATGGGTCAGAGAACCTTCAGGGTATACAAACACCCCAGTCCTGATCCTGCTATTGGCGTCACCTTCACGGAGTACCAGTATCACTGCAGATCACACCGACCCCTAACTTACCCCAGGTCCGGTCTCAGTCTGTGGTTTGGTTTGCGCCGGACGCGTTGTGGTGCATTTCAGACATTAATGCAGCAATATGTGCAATAAATGATCGGATGATGTATTTATGAATATCCTTTAATATATTAAATGCAACACATTTTAATCAGTTTCAGTGAGCAAACCTTTTACATAAGGCTCCAGGTTTTTTATCTGAAACACAATTTAAACAGATTTAACCTAAATCAGAGATCAGTTCAGGTTTGCTGATTATCAGCCAACATGTTTAACGAGTTATAATAACAACCAGTGGAAAAATCCCCCTCCTAACTCCCCCAGCCTGCGGTGTGAAGAGGTTTAATGGGGCATCTGGTCTCCAACCAGCAACCCCCCAAAAACCAGTTTGAGTTAAACACAAGAAAATACCATCGTAGAATAAGCTGCTGTCATCTTTACGCTGACTGTATTTATCAGACAGAAGTGATGTCATGGCAACCATGTTCTGTGAGATGTTGCCAGCTAATATTTCAGACATGGTGGGTATAAATACCACTCCTGTTGCTGTAATGGGAGAGAAACCACTTCCTGTCTAAATGTTCATTTTAAATAATAATGATAAATGACCCTCACTTGTATAGTGCCTGACTCCAAAGCGCTTTACACTAGTGTATCATTCATCCATTCACACACACATTCACACACTGATGGTGATGAGCTACGATGTAGCCACAGCTGCCCTGGGGCGCACTGACACTAACAAATTCAAAACCTTTTACTGTAAACTAAAGTGAATTAAAACTAAGAGTGCAAACATTATATTATCTTGTGTTTCCAGTATCTTCTTTTTTAATGTTTTAATGCCTATCACGTGATGTAAGTCCTCTCTTTTCTTTGCTCTAATGTCTGTTGTGATTGTTGTCATGTTGCCAAATAAAATAAAGATTGATGTGGTTTTCCTGCCCTCTGCTGGGCGGACGTGGTACTACATGTCCTTATATGGTTCGTGTCCGATCTCCAGCGGGCCCGCCTCCTCCTGAGGCTTGTGCCCAGGGAAAGCTTCAGGAATCTGCATGCAGTCAGCGCAATGTGTCGGTCCCGCTGACCCTGACCGGACCGGTCCTCTTGTGTGATCATGACTGAACCTTCTGGCTTCAGGTGACCCGAACATGACCTAACAGGAGCGGGTAGAGTCCCCTTCGAGGCCGGGGTGAGTGTTTCAGCCGCCGGTCGGTCCGGTTGGTTTTAGCCTCTCTTTTCTACAGTCGCTGGTTTTAGCGGAAACTTGTTAGCTGTTTGGCTAACTTTACTCATCTGGTCCCGGTCCGAGGAGTCCGCGGTGCCGTTATATCGTTAGGAGCTTCTCCTCCGGTCAGAAACGAACCGATAAAATCAACAGAACCGAGAAAGTTTCAACGACCACCTGGAAAAGGAAGAGAAAGTGGATGGAGTCGCTCCTGGTCCCGGAGGAGAGAGCGACCACTTCCGCTGACCGGTTCCATCTAATCCATCAGAAGCAGACGGAACGAGTGTTTCTGGTTAAACGAACCGATGATGACGTTTTTATTACTAAACATTAAAGCTGGACACCATTCAAACTGAGTTCAGACGTAAGAAAGTGAATAGAAACACACAGAACCGTTTTATGTTGATACGTTTAACCTGCTGATTCAGGATCAGATCTAAATGAATAAAATATTCAGAAGTCTGTTTTATTTTTAAACATCAGTTCCTCTAAACGATCTGATTAAAAACTTCAAACTCTGGACCAGACTTGTGTTGTTTTGGGATTGTGCAAAAAAATCGAAACAGAAGTTTGATCGCACTGACCTGAGGTCAGAGGTCAGAGGTCAAATGCAGGTCAGATAATCGTAGCTAAAGATTTTCAGTTTTGGTTGAAACAAACGAGTTTGTTTTGTGTTCAGATAAAAAAATCAAGAAAGCAGTCACATAAAGAAATAACTGCAAAAATTACAACAAAATAATTTTTGTTGTTGAGGAGGTCTGGACTCGGAGGTCTGGGCTCGGAGGTCTGGACTCGGAGGTCTGGACTCGGAGGTCTGGACTCGGAGGTCTGGACTCGGCGGTCTCAAAGCTCCTGGTTTGAGGATTCCAGCTGACTGGTGAGAGGAAGAAAACCCTTCTGACGCAGCTGAGTTCTGCTCCCAGAGGCTGGACTCGGTTCTGTTCCAGAACCAAGGTCTCTGTGAGATAATTTGTTGCTATCTGAGCTGCGTAGAAACTCTGATCCACTTTGCAGACGGGCCGGAGGCCGAGCTGGCTCCGGTTACAGAACCAGCAGCTTCTCTGAATGGAAACCGTGTTGCTCATTAATAATGCAGAGAGCTGCTGGGCCCGCCTGCAGGGAGACCAGAACCACCCGTTCTCGGTTCTGCTGTAGATCTTCCTTTAGATTTGATTCTTCTGAGGACGAGGTGAAGACGAGGTTTCTTGTGTTCTCCTGAAACTTCCTTGATTCGTATGAAAACAGCTTTTATTTCAGGCTGAAGCTGGTGAGATCGTGGAGCTGCTGATCGGACCGGTCCTGCAGAACACTGGCCGGTTCCGACAGATCTTTAATAGGAACTTTGAAGTTCAGGACCACCAGGACATCTGAAACATAAAATGATCATTTGACCCCCCCTCCCTTCAGGTGACATCATGGCGTCTCGAATTCTAGGCCGCCTGAAGCGCTCACTGTTTAAGGATGGCCAGGGGGCGGAGCCTGAACAGGAAGAGGAGGGGTTTAATAAGGACCGTTGGGAGGCAGAGCTGGAGGAAGAGGAGGAGTGTGTGAGTGAGCGGCTTGGGGGGATGCTGTGCTTCGACAGCGGGCTCGTGGGACCGGAGGAGGGAGCCGAGGGCGACGGGTCAGGCCTCGACAGCGACTCCGACTTCCTGGGAGAGTCGATGGAAGAGGGTCTGAGCAGCACAGGTGAGCCTCTGAACTCCTCAGGTTCTCACAGATGTTCGTGGTTGAATCATGACCGAACGACCAGACCCAGAGCCTTAAAATCCAGTTAATACATAAAAAACCAAGTATTAAAATACATTTTTATCCAAAACCATGAAACTGAAGAAGGTCAATTTTTCTGTAGATGCCAGTCCAATGGGTGTGTCCCCAGTGGGCCCCGCCCCCTCCACCCTGCTGACGCGGCAGCTCCAGGAGGGCTGGAGGAGTCTCCGAGGACTTGGAGGAGGACGTCCTGTCCGCTGCGCGAGGTGGTCGATGGACAACTTGTTGTTTGAGGTGACGGACGCCAGCGTGATGCAGGATGGATCCTCCAAATACGTGGTCAGGTCACCCAGAATCCTTTGCTGCACGACTCCGCGGTAGGTAGAACCCCCCCAGTGACCATTTCTGCTGGTTGTGTCTCCAGCTGTACACGATGCACGTGATCCAGGCCGGCAGCAGCGACAAGACTCCGGCCGTCATCACTCGCCGCTACTCTGACTTCCAGCGCCTCCATGGTGTGCTGCGCCGTAACCATGGAGACCAGATGGAGCGCGTCTCTTTCCCCCGTAAACGGATGTGATGACGATGTGCTTTCCTTAATCGCACCAGCAGTTGCGAAACATCTGAACATTTACACGTCTGGTTTTATCTTCACAGGGAAAAAGCTGCGGAGAAACTTCACGGCGGAAACGATCGCCAAGCGTAGCCGCGCCTTCGAGCAGTACCTGTCGCACCTCTGCTCCCTTCCTGTCCTGCGGGGGACGGCGACCGTTCGCTGCTTTTTCTACCTGAGCGACCTGCAGGCTGGACAGCTGCTCATCAGGTAAACCAAACTGCCTACGGCCGACCCGCCAGACGGTTCTGGCTCGCTGGTTCTGTTGGTCCAAATGTTTCAGCCTGTTTTCTGTCGTCGAGGGCGGGACGTTTCCAGGAGGCTCTGGGTCCGCTGCTCAACGCCAAGAGACTGCAGCACAAACTGGGCTGGACTGGTTACTACGACAACCAGTCACAGGCTCCACCTCCAGGCTCCTCCCATTGGTTCTTCACCTTGGTTGGGTTGTCGTGCTGTTTCCAGGAAGTGGAGCAGTTGGAGGAGGCTTGTGACCACTGCGACCACGCCCTCTGTGTTCTGACCCCAGCCAAGACTCAGCCAAACCCACAGGACAAGCCCCGCCCCTCTCACCTGGAATCCGACAGGCTCCACCCACTGTTGCTGCCATTGCTACAGGCGATGATCCGGCTGTCGTGGCAGACGGGAAGAGACAAGCAGCAGTGGGAGGAGCTTCTCCAGTCCCTGGTGGAGCAGAGGGCGGGGCTTGATGACCACCTAACCATTAAAGAGTTTCTAGTGAACCATAACCTGCAGGAGAGCGAAGGGGAGCCCTAAAGGAGGCACCGTAGCAGGAAACAAACCTGAGATTTTCAGAATAAAAGTTCACTGTTAAGAGTTAAATATCAGATGTTTTAGCTTTCGTGAAGGTTCTGATCCTGAGTGGGCGTGTCTTAGATGTGGAACTTCAAACCAGAACCAAAGAATTCTGTTGGGTGAGAGGAGAAGCATCAGAGGTCGTGGATGAAGACGAGGATGAAGATCAGACACGTGGAGAACAGACTGTTGATTTTCTCCACTTTTAAAGGGAAAATGTGTCGTTTTATCAAGTGTTGACCCGCAGCATCACCACCAGATCCGGTCTCAGCCTCAACCTGCTTCAGCCACAGCTCCCCGGTTCCACCAGGAACCAAACCTCCTGAAGTTCAAACAGGAAGTTGGCGCTCCACAGGGTTGGGAATCCGCCTGATGAGGAACGACGGGAATCTTTACAGTGGGATTAAAAGTTCCCTTGTTGGTTTTGGGTTTCTAATTCAAACGAAGGAGCAGAGGAGCGGGTCAGCTCAGAACTTTCCTGGTCCTGTCTGTCAGACTGGGCCAGAAACCGGGCCAGACGTCTGTGGAAACAGGAGGAGGCAGCTAAGTGATGCGGGAGCGGGTTATCAGCAGGAACCAGAACACAAAATGCCTGGTTCTGACCCGCTGTCGTCGGGTTCGAGGGGAAAATCCCTGAGAAGGTGGATCTGGTTGCTATGGTGATGGCAGCGATGACTCGTTATTGGACCAGAATAGACATGAGGAGGTTGGTTGCCTCAGCAGGAAGCTGATTAGTGATTTTTATTAATGAGGGTTTATAACTTTGTGAAGGAAACGCTTCCGTCGACGTGTGTAGATGAACGTGTTAGGACCACTTCACCACCAATAAAGTCCTGTATTCTGGTGTCTTTCTGCTTCTACTGTGGGCTTCAGCCTGATAAACACCTGATGTGTCATGTGACTTTCTGAGAGCCAATAGGAGACCTGCAGAAGCAGCCTGCCAGCGCCTTGACCTGGATAAAGATGTCTCTGTTCAGCTTTTAAGTATTAAAATCACTTTAACTGTCGGGTTTACTGAAGTTCTCGATGGTTTTCATTAAATCTGAACTATAAAACAATTCTTTTCAAACTTTAAAAAGTTCACGTTTGCAGTCGCATGCCGACATTTGTTTTCATACGTTTATAATGGGCAGCAGCAGCTCAGGACATCGAGCGGGTTGTCCAGTAATCAGAAGGTTGCAGGTTCAATCCCGGCTCTGGACAGAGAATTCTGCTGTTGTGTCCTTGGGCAAGACACTTAACCCAGCTTGCCTGCTGGTGCTGGTCGGAGGGACCGGTGGCGCCTGTGCTCGGCAGCCTCGCCTCTGTCAGTGCGCCCCAGGGCAGCTGTGGCTACATCGTAGCTCATCACCATCAGTGTGTGAATGGATGAATGATACACTGTAGTGTAAAGCGCCTTGGAGTCCTGACTCTGAGAGGCGCTATACAAGTGCGGGTCATTCATCATTTAATATAAAGGTGCAGCTGTACGGTTGGATCGACGGACTCGGTTTTCAGGTCAGCTCGACGTCGTTAGAAAGCATAAAAGTTAATATCCTAAAACGTTCTGTTAATTTAACAATTTCAACACAGATTCTGTAATAAAAAAACTGATCCTGAAACCAACAAAATTTACTTTATATCTAAAGGTGTGAACACAAAACCCGTTCAATGATTATTTCTGATTATGATCCATCACTCTGAGTGTTTCACGCAGGCTGAACATGAAAATAGTCTCCTACACTGATCTCCTGCATTAGCTTCTGATAGAAAATAGACGGTGACACTCGAAGACGGTGGTTCCTGGTCCTGGATGGTCAGTGTCCTTCATAGTAGTTTAACTGTTTAAACACCTGATTTAAATCAACAGGCTTCTGAAAGCCTGACGAGCTGCTGCACAGGTGACTCGTCTACTGAACCAGGCGTGTTGGAACAACGAAAAAGTGCTGGAAACAGGTGTTGTATCAGGGCTCAGGTGCGTTATCTGCCTGTACGCCGCCACTGGGGTTAGGGTGCAGGGTAGGATTACAACTACGTCAGTCTTACGTGCGCTGTAATATGTGTCTGCTAATCTGACGAGGTATGGTGCTTCGACAGAGGATTAGAAAATCCTGACAGATCTACGTCACCCTGTCGCTTAACATTCATGGACTCACCCATCTTGACTCACGACGGGCACGTGTGTTGTTGGTTTAGCGTCCAGGAAACAGCAGAGAAGGTCTCAGCTAGTAGAAGCTAACTGTTAGCATGAGCTACTCCACCACACAGCAGAACTCCTCCAGGCTTGTGGAGATAATAAAATATCAACGTTGCAGAGTAAAATGTTTCCGTGGTAGAGTTGCGTTTCTATTAGCCAATCAGAGGTGAGATGTCCAAATATCAGGAAGTATGACTCCAAATCTGTTGTCTGAAGCCCAATCCCAATCCTCGCGCCCTTCAGCTGTGCAACCCCAGCCAGCCAAGTGCAGATCTTCACCCGAGTTCGCATGGATGCGGACTTGGGTGAAGGGTATTACCCACAATCCTTTGCTGTAGGAGAAAAGGCTCGAGTTCCTTTTCAGAAAATATGTATTTTCAAATGAAATTAGTTCATTTTAAGACGATTAATTGATGCTCTGAAGGTTTTAAGCAGCAATAAAGGTTAACCATTTCAAATAATTGTTTTATTTAAAATAGCACAGCGATCAGCATCCCGGCATGTGTTTCGGTCGATGATGCAATGCTCCACGTCCCAATTATATTTATATATAAATAGGATGAGAAATATTACCAATCTTTGCTCAGTATCTGCAGAAACTGCTGTTTCAGCTGTGGCGGCCATCTTTAATTGGCTGTAAAGGTCAATCAGCTGCAAACATTTATTCTGGGACTTCGGAGCTTCATTCAGGTCTGAGCACCAGCTCAGGAGATCTTTGCCTAACAGACAGGATTGGAGCTGTTAACTGGTGGGCAACAGAAAGAAAAAAGGTCCATTTAGGTTCAGCAAAACCAAACTTCCCGTTTCCTGTTGGGTCCACCTGAGATGCAACACCAGGCTCTGGTCAGCAGAGGGCGCCTCCCTCCAGCTTGTTCTGTGATGGAATACCTCCACATTCCTCAGGTCCAAGAGCTCCAGGTTTATCAGACCATCAGGAGTGAATCTGGACCAGGATGGTTCTTCGCCCCCACAGAGGGAAGGGTGGAAGGGGGCAGCAGATGGACCGGGACCAGATCTGGACTCAGAGTCCGTCCAGGTGGTTCTAATGTTGCTGCTGCTTTCACCGCTGACGCGTGTTATCTGTAAATAAGTGCTCCACAACACATCACCATGGCGACAAGGCCAAGAGCTGAGAGATTAGCTGCTGCAGAAACACTGGTTGCTACGGTAACGGTCACGGATCACAGCTGAACATGGCTGTCAGCGGAAGGTATGACATCCAGAGCTGTCAGTCACTGTTGTCATGGTGACCGTCTGATGAGACGCAGCGCCAAGTTCCATCCGTTCGGCTCTACGTGAAAGGTAGTCGTTGGTGTGAAAAAGAGAAAGTGACACATTCGATTTTCCTGGTTTAGCTCAAGATTTTACAAAAGATAATATTAGAATAATTAAAGAACAGTCAAACTTCACGTCTGGCACATTTTAATGTTTTTCACAAGAGTTGTGTAAAATCCATCAGTGATCGTTTCACTAATCAGAGTCACAGTTAGGGTTCACACACAACAACACACACCTGACATCTCAAGTCTGACCCGACACGAGACGGGTCAGAGGACAGAAGAGCAGGAGAACATCATCTCATCTGTTCTTAATCAGAACAACTCTAAACCTGTCTCACGCACACACACACATGCACACACACACGCACACACACGCGCACATGCACGCACACACACACACACAAATACACACACACACATGCACGCACACACACACACACAAATACACACACACACATGCACTCACACACACACACACAAATACACACACACACATGCACTCACACACAGAGAGACACACACACGCACACACACACATGCACACACACAGACGCGCGCACACACACACAGACGCGCGCACAGAGACACACACACACACACACACACACACACACACACACACACGCCATTTTCAAAATCTTTTAGATTCACTTTGATGTGTTTGGATAGGAAGTGACCGTGTGTGTGTGTGTGTGTGTGTGTGTGTGTGTGTGTGTGTGTGTGTGTAAACTAGAACCTAAGGGAACCCTGTCTTTAAAGTTAAGCCTGGTTCATGCTTCTCCGTCAGCTCCGTGAGGGACAGACACGCACGGATTGACGGAAGCGTTTTGCTCTCATACTTCTCCGTCTCCTGGAGAGTGTTGCAGAGCAATTCCCCGCCAGGACAGCAGAGGGCGTAGCGCTGTTCTGTGGTATCCTGTCATGTATCGGTACAAGATAGTGTGTTTATATTGTGTTTTTTGTATACAAGAGACTTTTTAACACAGACATATTTGTCTCTCATCCTCCTCCACCTCTTCATGCGCTCGCCACCTCTAAACCCACGTTTCCTGTCATTTCTGTCCACAAATAAAACGCTCATGTTTTTAGAGTTTTTTCGCGAGGTATTCTTCAAGCTTCTCCGTGTCTGCCGCTAGTTATCCTCGGCTCTCTTTATGTTGTTGAGGGCGCAATGGAGGCGCTGTAGACGACAGCGGCGTCCTGACCAATCACAAGCTTGCGTTGTCCGTCTCGACTGACGGATGTTTAGGAAAGAGAGCTCGACTCCGTCCGTCCTTGCGGAGCTCTCCGGCAGGCCCGCAAGGACGTTGCGTGTCTCCTCGCTGACGCAGACGCAGACGGAGAGGCATGAATCAGGCTTTAATGACACCCTAAAACATGACCTGAGCAAACCTGAGGAGATCCGGATGCACCAGCTGACCAGTGACAGGGTTTGACCCTCTTCCAATAAAGCACCTGTGACCAGGTGATAGACGAACCTGACTGTCCTCAGGGTCCACCCCCCCCCCCCCCCCCCCAGTGATGTGAAAGTGACAAAAATGGGTCCTGATGTCTTTCCCTAAGATTGTGCAAAAGCTGTGTGTGTGTGTGTGTGTGTGTGTGTGTGTGTGTGTGTGTGTGTGTGTGTTCAGTGCTAAGGAGTTAGCATGCTAGATGCAGATTTTTTAAGCTAACATCCATCTACTGACTAACAAAACGATGAGAAGCAGAAGCAAAAATCAAGTATATAAAGCTACTATGGTTATAAAATATATTTTAGTATTACTAGGATACTCTGATGGTCCAAGGTTACACGTCTTTGGCTAATTACTGCTGACCAGTTCCTGTCAACGTTTAAATTCCCTTTTTGTTGTGACATCAACACAAAACACACGTTAGGAGTAACTCCTGTGCTCGCTTCAGGCCCGACCCGCTGACCCGGATCCTCTGGAGCTCATTTCATTGAATTGTTTTACAAAATATGAAAATAAACAGTATTTTTAAATTTTAACAAATTGCATCGGACAGTTTTTTTTATGTCCGACACGTCGCGTTGCAACCTTTGACCTGATTACGTGAATGTGTCCCTGCTCAGACTGGATCCGACCACTAACCAGAACCACCTGGAGCACAGCCATTGTGAATCCTAATCTGGTGGCGTGGTTTCTATGGAAACGTCGACAGTAACACCTCACCACCCTCAGAGATTTGGCATGCTAACGGCTAGTTTGAGGTCGCTGCCTTCTCAAAACTTCACAAGCTTGATTCCTAAGGCCTGGAATGTACTTGCTGTTTAACCGCGCGGTGGCGCAGGCTGTTCACACACTTGCTGCTAGACGGCACTGCATATAGTACTGGAGGGTTCCACTAGGGGGCGCACTATAGAACTCAGACCAGAAAGAGAGTACAACCTGCCTTGATGCCTTGGCCCCGCCCCGGTTGCCTAGGAGACACGTCATCAGGAACCACCAAGACGTGTTCCAATGTTCATGTTCTACCGAGGCGTGTGTTCTCCGTTTGTTAGCCGTTTAGCTAGCTGAGCAAGGAAACACGGGAGGTGTCTTGTAGCCTAGCCTTGGTCAAAAATTACCCAGAATACACCGCGGTATTTTCAAAAAGACGGCGGATCAGAAGCCGGCAGCTACTTCTGGGACAAATTTCAAGTTTAAAAGTAAGTCAGCTAATTTAAAATGTCTTTTAGATCCAAAGAAGTTATCTATGGTTGGTTAGTTGGTTAGTAGTTGCAGCTTCGGTGGCTAGCGGGTAGTAACTCACTCATATATTTTTTATTTAATAAACAAAAACACAACTTAAAAAGTAAAAGGCTCATTATATATTTATATCGAAACTAATACGTATAAAATATAACGTTATCTCCCGTGTCACATGGCGTTACGCGACCGCCGTGGTCACGTGATGCAAGTCCGTTCCATTTAACCGTTTTCTTTGACCAAGGAAGGACCGTGTCCTCGTAAGCAAGGTGCCTTGACATAGAGAAACGCCCATGGCGTCAATAAAAGAGCTCACTCTCTGGTTAATTTTGAGATCACGACAGAAAAAAGACAGCAGCGGTATCGTAGCTGGTGTGAAAGACCTCTAAACCAGAGACGGAGTCACCGTGGTGTGTCTCGCTTTGTCAACTCCACCTGCTGGTTGCTCCACCCACTGGTTGCTCCACCCACTGGTTGCTCCACCTACTGGTTGCTCCACCCACTGGTTGCTCCACCCACTGGTTGCTCCACCTACTGGTTGCTCCACCCACTGGTTGCTCCACCCACTGGTTGCTCCACCCACTGGTTGCTCCACCTACTGGTTGCTCCACCCACTGGTTGCTCCACCCACTGGTTGCTCCACCTACTGGTTGCTCCACCCACTGGTTGCTCCACCTACTGGTATATTGTGGCATTTGGACGCGTTGCGCTGCATTAATTTTGGGAGACGCGCACAAATAACGCTTCAAATCAACGCAAATAACTTGGCAGCCATTTTATTTATGCGTTTGCGTCATTAAACAGCAAGTACGCCACAGCCCTACGTCGTTGCTTTGCTGTCAGGTTTATGTCACATGATCATTAATTAGCTTCAGCGGGCTGCAGCAGCTAGCTGGCGTGATTCTGACACAGCCTGGAACATTCCCACCTTCAGCAGGCGACGCAGTGACACCAAGGACAACACACAACTAGCCGTTAGCTTGTTAATCCTATCTGAATTGAGGTTCGGAACGTTTCCATGGGAACGACCTGGAGCCTTACTGTCAGTGAAAACGTCTGAGATGTTGCTGATATTTCGGTTCGTTTAGGTTCTGAAAAGAAGGAAAATAAATCAGGAAAACGGGTTTTCCTGATGAAATAATTCCGTATTCTCCAGGATTTTAGTTCGTTTTCAGGTCGGAGGAAAAGCAGCAGATAAAATCCGTGTTGGATTATCTAGCGGATGCCAGCTTTTAACATCAGGGACGATCCGATGCTGTCTGGGTTCTGAGCTCCAGGACGGATCTTTTATTTACACACCTGGCCCGGCCCAAAGAGAACCGAGGACCGGTCAGGCGGACCGGAGTTCTTTCCCACATGGAGTCCATTCTGACGCTGATGACCCGTAGAGAAAAGCCGTGAAGAAGAGGAGTGAGCTTCCACAGCACGTGAAGGAGCCGGTCACGACCCGTTCAGGTTCTGTTTCGGTTCCATGAGGCGCCAGACTCAAATATTCGATTCCAGGTTTAGTTTGAACCAAACTGCCTCTTGGTTCTGATCCACAGAAGAAACTCCTGGTAGGATGCAGGTTCTGAAAGGTTCTGATCACCTGTTTGATCCAGAGGTCCCAGCAGAACCAGTACCGGGTACCAAACATTAATACTGTTATAGGAGATTTGGTTAAAAGTTAAAAGGACTGGGTTCTGGTTCTGGTTCAAAAACAAAACCCGTTGAGATAATTTCACTGAACAGAAGCAGGATGTTCATTTGGTTCTGATCAGACCGAACTGGACCGGGTTTTCCCGAAAGCCCAGAGGTAACTGGTTTGGTTATGACTCAGAACCTTTACTGAATCTGGGTCAGAGTCTGCAAGTGGTTCTGACCCGGTCAGACGGTGGTGACGGACGGTTCTGACCCGGTCAGACTGAGCGGTTGTGACCTGGTCAGACGGTGGTGACGGACAGCTGTGGTTCTGACCTGGTCAGACGGTTCTGACCCGGTCAGACGGTGGTGACGGACAGTTCTGACCCGGTCAGACTGAGCGGTTGTGACCTGGTCAGACGGTGGTGACGGACAGCTGTGGTTCTGACCCAGTCAGATGGTTCTGACCCGGTCAGACGGTGGTGACGGACAGCAGCGGGCTGGGACACAGCTGGCTGTCGCTCTCCACCCGGGTCCCGTGGGTCAGCAGCTCCTCCACGGTGGTCCAGTCATCCAGCAGTTTGCTGTTTCTCAGCCGGTTCTGTTTCATGTGGCTCAGCTCCAGAACCATCTGGGACGACAGCGCCCCCTGGCCTCCTCCCACCATCTCCTCCCCTACACCCCTCCTTTCTCTGTGTTGCCGTGACAACGCCATCTGACGCCTTCTTTCGGTGCGGCTCCAGTACCGTCCAGCCCAGCGGCCGTCCTCCCCGTCCTCGTCTCCCTGCCTCCCCCCCTCTCCTCGTACCTCTTCGTCTGTGGTGACCTCACTGCGCTCCCTGGCCAATCGGTAAGCTCGGGCCCTGAGCAGCTGGTTCCTGACTGACTTCTGATTGGACAGTCTTGAGCGGGGGGACGTTGGAGACCGAGGACTGCGCTGCGGAGCCCCCAGTGTGCTGTAGAGAGAAGCGCAGGAACCTTTAGGCTTCTCCACGTGACCCCCGAAGGTCTGGAACCCACGCCAGTTTGAGACGCCGCTGGAGGCGGAGCCAGGACTCTTAGAGAGGGAGTCCTCCTCCCTGCTCCGATTAGAGCTGTGACGACTGGTCAGACTGGCTCCGTCGATGCTGAGGTGTCCAGCGGGATGACTGTTGCTGGGGTAACTGGCCCTGCTCCTTGGCCCCATCG